CCCACCCTGTGATCCGCCCACAAACAGTGCACACGCCTGGACCCAGGGCCCCCAGAACACCGCTCCCCTGCCGCCTGCGGGCTAGATGGGAATGCTCTGCCCTCAACACTGGGAATGCTCTGCCCTCAACACTCCGCGCAGTCCTCTGCATGACCTGCAGGGGGACCCGTACAGCCTTTGAGATGAGGGTCCTGGTTACCTTCAAAAATGTGTCTCGGCGTTTTCTGAGGAAGTTATTTAGCTGGTGGTGGCTGTTCAAAAGCCTCCACTACCTTTAGAGAAAAGCCCAAACTCCCCTCCAAGACCCACCCCAGCCAGGCCACCTGGGAGGCCCTCCCTGCCCCTCCCACGCACTGCGTGAGACCTGGTGGCTTCAAAACAACCTGAGCTTCCCTCTCACACCCGGATGGCAGCACTCCAGTTCCAGATGTGGGCAGGTGCCCTCGCCGGTTTGGCTCAGCGGATAAAGTGTCAGCCTGGGTTCAATTCCAGTTCTCCCAGCAGCCTCTCTCCCCGCCTCTCCCCTGTTCCTCACCTCCCTGCCCCCCTACTCACCCCAGAGACACAGCTCAGAGGCCACCTTGCCCTGACTCCCATTGGGAGGGCCTGTCACAGACAAGCCTCCAGAGTTACAAACATCAAATCCAGAACCCTCCGCCTTAGGCGCAGGGACCCACTCGTCCCTGATCCCTCAGAGGCCACAAACCAAGACCCAGAGCTCCTTTGGTGTTCAAGAAGGGCGATAGGCCTGGGCTGGGCCCTCGGCCGCAGTGCTCAGAACTGGCCACTGGGGGTCAGGCTTGGGCTGTATTGTGCAGAACCGTAAGGCGGAAGCAGGAGGCGGGAGGCGGGAGGAGACCCTGCTGTCTCTCCGCCTGGGGCAGGGCTGCTCCTGCTGGCAGAGCTGACCCACAGGCCTCCTGGAAGAGGGCCCTGAGGCGCTGCCTGTGCCTCACACACTCCAGCCACTGGCCACTCCTGGTGCCACAGCCCCTGCGGACCAGGATCTCCCATCAGAGCCTCCCAGACTGACCGGCTGCGTTGGCCCTTCCCAAGGCGGCCTAGCCCCTCTGGCGCCTGCCCCCCACACGGTGCCAGTACTGCTGACTCCGCATCCGCACAGGGGAGCTCAGCATGCAGGCGGCGCCGACTGCGGGCCCACCTCTCTGCTCCCGGCTGATGTCACAGCTTGATGACACGCTGAAGCCAAAATTGGGGGGAAGGGGGGGGGCGGTCTAGATTCAAACCTCTGTCCTTCCCCAGGCACCAAAAGCAATGGTGGCCATGGGCCCCAGGACCCAGGACTGTCCCCACAGACGCTGCAGGACCCACCAGGAGCCAGACCAAGGCCCTCCCACCCCTGTGCTGACCGCATTTTGTACCTTGACAGAGACTGAGGTCCCAGGCAAGGCAGTGAGCTCTGACAGGCCACGCCTCCCTGCATCAGCACAGCCCTGAGGCCCTGTGGCTGCCACACTCAGCGCCAGGCAGGACACCAAGCCCACATCTGTGTGGGAGGCCTGCGTTGCTATGGCAACCCCAAGACCGAAACCTGCTTCTGCCAGGTCTTCCTCTCCTGCGGAAAGCTCCTTCCACTGGGTGCCAGCCCCTCCCTTCCAAACCCCACCACTGAGCATGCGTGGCCCACGGGGGTCCCAGACCCAGCCAGGGCTCCGGGAGGCTGGCGCGAGGTGAAGGGCCCGGATAAGGCGGTTCCTGGGCCCCGGCACCACTCCCTTCTCCGTCTCACTCAGTCCTTCAGACAGAGCCACCAGCAGGACTCGGAGCGGAGGCCACCCACCCCTCTCCCACAGCGGCCAGGTGAGAGCAGAGCAGCCTCTCGCAAGCCCTGGACAGAGGTGCGGCCCAGCCCCGCCCAGGCCTGGCGCACAGTGGGACCCACAGGCTGCGTTACCCACCAGCAGAGGGGCCGCAGGCACAGGGCCGGCGGGACCCTGGGCAGCTCCCCTGGAGGCCGGGGCGCAGCAGGCTCCGGGTGAGGCCCCCAGGCTGAGGGTGCCTCCCTCCTTCACACACTCCAACCTGAGGCCACAAACGCACTCTCACGTGCCCCGCGCTCCCTCTGCTCCCACTGTGCGCCAGCCCGGCTCCTCCCGCCAGGCCACATCCCCGGGGCCGCCCGGCAGCAGCCCGCGGCCCGTCGTGTCCTGCTCCAGGACTTCGGACCCTCCGGCCAGGACGTTTGGGTCCCTCAGTCCGAGCGGGCATCGGCCACTCAGACAGGCCCTCTCCTCCCAGGCGTGGCCCGGGGCCTTGGCGCGCTGGGTCAGGTGGGGACACAGCGTCTGGCTGCTCCGGTCGTCCCCCCGGTGGGAGGGGGCGGTCCCCGAAGCCCAAGCTGGGGCAGCCGGGCTCCGGGCCGCCCAGCCCCGCCCGGTGCCCAGGCCGCTTCCGTCCCCATGGCACCAGCTCCCGGCAGGCTGTCCGCTGCTTCTCAGGACCCACTATTGCCACCCTCTGAGGGGGCCCAGGGGCAGGACTGACTCCTCACCCAACTCGTACTCGCCTGGTCACATGGTCCTGGTGTGTCTGAGCCAAGAGCCCAGGCCCACACCCTCTCTCAGCCTGAAAGGCCTCCCTCCTGCGGCAGGCACACTGCTGTGCGCAGCCTCCCAGCAGCGCGCTGGTTTCCATCGCGGTCGGTCGGTCGGTCGGTCGGTCGGGGCGATTCCCTCTGGAGAGCATGCTGCGGTGCTGGGCGGGGCCTGGGCAGTGCTCGCTGGCGTGGCCCTCTCTCAGACGGAAACGGCACCGCTGAGACACTGTGCTGCCGCCCGGCTCCTCGCGGGCCTCGGGGGCCTGCCCGGCGCTTTGGGTCGGAACCTGAAGCAGCTTCCAGAGGCTCAGTGCAGAGGCCCTCCCAGGGCTGAGTGGGCATCACGACGGTGAGGATCCGCAGGGCCAGCTGTCGCGGGGGCCGGGAGGGGCCCGTTCTCTCCACTCGAAGCGCAGCACCAAAGCTGGCCGTCGCAGGCCAGCACCCACCCACTGCCTCTCCCTCTTGGGTCACAGTCACACCTGAGGCAGCGGCGTGACTTGCACATTCTGTGCCCCCACCCCCGGTTCCTGGAGGGGAGGCCCTGAGACCCCAGGACGAGACCCCAAGACGCACGAGAGCAGGTGTGCGGTGAAGGACAGAATCGGTGTGAGACCCCGGTGGGGAGTGAATAGACAAAGGCAGCAGAGCAGGGGTGAGCCCTCCCGTCCAGCTGCCCTCCAGCCACAGCGGGCAGAGCGGCCCCCAACCTCTCCCTCGGAGGCTTCACAGGAGAGCAGTCCCCAGGAGGGCACACAGCCCCGCCCACCACACACCCCTCAGCAGGGAGGCCTCAGGACCTGGGATCCAGGGCCCCCAAGATGCAGGAGCAGGCAGACCCCCTCCAGACCCTACCCCAGGCAAGCGGCCCGGGAGGAGAATGCCGGCCTCCCACCTCCATGGAGACACGGACAGGGAGGGTCCGCGTGCTCTGGGCTCCTGGTCCCAGGGAGAAGCCGGCCTCCCCTCTGGTCCCCAATCCCACAGCCATTGCCCCGACCCACCACCTCCCCCGGCTCCCCTGACAAGGCGGCCCAGGGCCACAGCAGCCCTGATGGGCAACGCTCAAACTGAGTCCAACCCCAGTAGCACCTTCGCAGAGTGGGCCACCCCCAAAGCCGCAAAGGGGGTCAGCCTTTGGGCTCAGGTGAGAAGGGGAGCTTCAAGGAGCCCAGAACAGACCAGGGGCTGGGCTGCAGCCTGGGTCAGGGGGTTGGGGGGCTAAGAGGTGCAGCCTGAGATGGAGGTGAATGTGGGGACATCAGAACTATAATGGGGAAGGGGGTGGGACAAGGGCTGAAGGTGCGGGAGCAGTCGGGTTGAATGTGGGAGGAGGTAGGGGTGGGTGGGGCGGGTGGGGCCTGGGGATCAGGGATGGAGGTGAGGCCAGGAGGAGGTGGGGCCCTGGAGAGCTGGGGGAGATGGCCCACTTTGGAGGTCCCTGGCACTGCCCACCCCTCACGCCCGCCTGGCCTGGCCCGCTGCTCCTGCCAGTCGGCGCGGTCTCTGTGGAGTCGCCTGGACACGCAGCGATGTGCTGGGGAGGCGCCTGACGACGCACCGCTCCCAGGCCTCTGCCTGGCCGCCGTTCCTCCCTCACTTCCCCTTGATGCTAAATTTTTGTTTTAACAGCAAAGTGCCGGTCATTGAAACTTGTATAAAACCGCACCTTAATACCTTATTCAATAAAGTAATTTTTAAAAAACGCACCTTGGCCCAGTGGCCTTGACCAAGCAATTCAGCTCTAGGTCGCCTCACATCCCTCAGAGCTGCTTTGGGAAGGAGAGCAGGGCTGGGTGCTGAGAGCCACACCCATGTGGGAGGACCCCCCACACACACGCACACACACACACGCACACTGGATCCACAGGAGAGATGCAGGCTGCTGTTTATGGAGAAACTATTTGTGCTGAATAGAAGGCAACAATCCACCACATGGACTAGTTGCACCCCGTCCCGATGTGGGGGCAGGCGGGGGAGGGGCGCGGGGAGGCGGGAGGAGCTCGGCGTGGGTGGGAGGACCACACATGCTAGTCCCAGAGAAGCTACCCCACAGCCCACTCTGCAGGAGGAGTGCGCCTGGGGGTGGGGCGGGAGGCTCAGGCGGTCGCAGGCAGAGCTCGCGTGCGTGGCACATGCATAAGCACATGGGCACAGGGGGCACAGGCACACGTTCACGAGTCTGTCTCAGCAAGAAGGTGCCTGTGGAGGCTCAGCCCTAAGAGCCAGGGCGCCGCAGCCGGCCAGCAGGTCCTTGCTCCCCAGGTGCTTAAGTCACATGGCCCAGGGCTGCGACTCAGCTCCCAGGCGGAGGCAAATCATCTTGTCAACGTTGCAGAACTAGTTGCAAAGTCACCAAGCTCCAGCTTCCGTCTGCAGGCTGGGGCTCCGGTGACCACACTAGGGCCCCACCCCCACCGGCGCCCACAGCCCAGAGGGTTCTCCGGCGTCACCAGTTCCAAAGGTGAAACTACCCTCTGGTTTGGCACCAGGAGTTCGGGCGTCCCCCAGAGACACCTGGAGGCTTGGAAATGAAGCAGTGGGTCAGTCACTGCAGGTGCAGAGCAAAACCCATCCCACTGCCACCCTTTCAAGGCCACTCGGACCCACGGAGGGTGCAGGGTCCTCCCAGCAGCACAGCTGGGGACCTCTGATTTCAAGCAAAGGAGAGACTGAGAGGAAGAGCCCCAGGAGGACACAGCATCCTGCGGCCCTCAGGTACACAGGGCCGCTTCGAATGGCAGACGGAGCAGCCTGCAATAGCCCCGCCCACCCGCAGGCCAAGCCGGCCTGCACACGTGGGCCCGCGGCTGCAGCGCATCAGCCCACGGAGAGGAGCGTCTGGGGAAAGGGCTCCTTGAGGGCTGGAGGGACGTGGACGTGGGGAACCGGAGGCGGCACCAGTGACTCTCGGGCAAGTCCACGTCAGCAGCTCCCAGTGGGCCAGTCCCACTGCCCTCACGCAGACCGCACACAGCACAGGGCCCTCAGGCTGCACACACTGCTGTTCCGCCTCCAGGGGTGCCCGCCAGGGCCTGCGGCTGCGGCAGAGGGGAGGCAGGGAGCCCCATGGATCGTGGGTGTCCGTGAGCTCTGGCCAGGCTCTCTCGCTGGTGAGTTCTTTCACATCCTTACCCCATCCCGGAGGAGTGGGTCAGTGTGCCTGGGGCCACGGGGCAACCCTAAGCAGTGGTCCCACGGTGTCCCCAGGCCCTTGGGGTCACAGAGAAGCTCCAGAGTCCGGTGATGCCCGGGGGTCAGGTGGCCATCAGCCTAGAGAGCAGTAACCTGGGTGAGCTCCGTGTTGGGTGTGGACGGGCTCTGCGGGCTGACGGGCACCATGGGCAGGTCCACGCCTAGTCATGCAGGCCTCGGCACCGTCTCTGAGGTCTTGTGGGCGAGGGCCACATCCTTGGTCGTGCTGCGCACACGCTCAGACCCCGGGCCCTCCCGGCGCAGTGCAGACGTGCAGCAGAACTTGCGGAAGCAGGCCTTGAAGTTCTCGTCTAGGAAAGCGTAGAGGATGGGGTTGAGGCAGCTGTTGACGTAGCCGAGGGCTGTGCAGAAACGTAGGATGGCCACCGCCGTCTCACTGCCCGGCTGGACTCCCAGGCCTTGGACCAGGACGAAGACCTGGACTGGCGTCCAGCAGCCCACGAACACCGCCACCACCACCAGCACCAGCCGCGTGATGCGCCGTAGGTTCCGATCCTTCTCTCGGGAGCCGGAGAGCAGGCGGACACCCCGCAGCCGCCGGATCATGAGGCTGTAGCAGATGGAGATGATGAGCACGGGGATGATGAAGGAGAAGAGGAAGATGCAGACAGCAAACAGGGGGCCCCAGTAGTCCTGCGGGGTGGGGATCTCCACCAGACACTCGATCTCTGCAGGGAGAGAAGCAGGGTCAGGTGGAGCCAGGGAACATGGCCCTGGGCAGGAGGGACCACCCGACTGACCTTCATCCTCGACCTGTGCCGAGCCCATGATGGCCACCGGGATGCCGACGACAGAGGCCAGGGCCCAGATGGCCACATTGACAGCCTGGGCCTTGCTGGACGTCCGGACATCGAGGGCACGGATGGGATGGCAAATGGCTACATACCGATCCACACTCATGGCGGTCAGCGTGAAGGTGCTGGTGAACATGTTGTAATAGTCGATGGCAATGACTATCTTGCACAGGGCATTCCCGAATGGCCAGAAGCCCAGGAGCACGTCTGTGCCCTGGAAGGGCAGTGTCAGCAACACCAAGGTGTCTGCCAGGGCCAGGTTGAAGATGTAAATGTTGGTAGCTGTCTTCATCTTGGTGTGCCTGCAGGGGAGGGGAAAGGACAGCTTCATTTGGCCACTGTCTAGACCTGAGAGCAAAGCCACCAGGAGGGCACCCACTCTGAGGCCCTTGTTAAACACAGGCTCCTGGGCACTGAGCCCGGGGCAAACAGTGTAATAAGCTTCAAGTCCTCCTGGCACACAAGAGGGTTCCAGGCCTAGGACAGGTCTGCTGGGGAAAGTGGGTGTGCGGCAGCAGAGCACACGTGACATTGCACAGCGTGAAGGGGTAGGATTGTGAGCAAAAGAGCCTGCTCCTCCTTCAGAGTTTCCCCAAGACCCTTTGTGGATCAAATCCTGTGCCTGCAGCTGCCAGAATTCTCCAGCCTCCCAGCCCACATTGCTGTCCAGCCATCAAGACAGGAAATGGCAACCATGATGGGAGTGGTGCTAATGAGGTCTAATGGTGTCCAAGCTACTGGAATCGGGCTGGGGAAACGGCGTTTCAGAAATGTTTGTTGAATGAAGTAATATCTGTGATAGTGGTGGTGGAGGTCATGGTGATGGACGTAGCAATGGAAGTGGAGGCAGTGGGGGAGATGGAGGTGGCAGTGGAGATGGAGGCGGCAATGGCAGTGAGGCAGAGGTGGTGGAGGGGGGAGGCGGAGGTGGTGATGGAGGTGGAGATGTTGATGTAGATGGAGGTGGAGGTGGTAATGAAGGAAGAGGTGGTGGTGGAGGCAGAAGTAGGGAAGGGAGGAGGCAGAGGTGGTGATGGAGGTGGAGGTGAGGTGGAGGCGGTGATGGAGGCGAAGGTGGAGGTGGTGGCGGAAACGGAGGTGGTGATGGAGGCGGAGGTAGAGGTGGAGGCGGAGGTGAAGGCGGAGGTGATAATGGAGGTGGAGGTGAAGGTGGAGGTGGAGGTGGTGATGGAGGTGGAGGTGTTGATGGAGGTGGAGGTGAAGGTGAAGGTGGTGGTGGAGGCAGAGGTGGTGATGGAGGAGGTGGAGGTGGAGGCGGAGGTGGAGGTGAAGGTGGTGGTGGAGGTGGTGGTGGAAACAGGTGGTGATGGAGGTGGAGGTGGAGGTGGAGGCGGAGGTGGAGGTGGTGATGGAGGTAGAGGCGGAGGCGGAGGTGGAGGTGAAGGTGAAGGTGGTGATGAAGGCGGAGGTGGAGGTGGAGGTGGTGATGGAGGTGGAGGTAGAGGTGGCGGTGGAGGTGGTGATAGAAGCGGAGATGGAGGTGGAGGTGGAAGTGGAGGTGGTGATGGAGGCGGAGGTGGAGGTGGAGGTGGTGATGGAGGTGGAGGTGGAGGTGGAGGTGGAGGTGGAGGTGGTGATGGAGGTGGAGGTGGAGGTGGAGGTGGAGGTGGTGATAGAGGTGGAGGTGGAGGTGAAGGTGGAGGTGGTGATGGAGATGGAGGCCGAGGTGGAGGTGAAGGTGGAGGTGGTGATGAAGGTGGAGGCGGAGGTGAAGGCGGAGGTGGTGATGGAGGTGGAGGTGGAGGTGGAGGTGGAGGTGGTGATGGAGGTGGAGGTGGAGGTGGAGGTGGAGGTGGAGGTGGAGGTGGTGATAGAGGTGGAGGTGGAGGTGGAAGTGGTGATGGAGGCGGAGATGGAGGTGAAGGTGGAGGTGGAGGTGGAGGTGGAGGTGGAGGTGGAGGTGGAGGTGAAGGTGGAGGTGGTGATGGAGGTGGAGGCCGAGGTGGAGGTGAAGGTGGAGGTGGAGAGTTGAGGTGACGGTGGTGCTGAAGGCGGAGGTTGTGAGTGAAGGAAGGTGGGGGATGAAGGCGGAGGTGGAGGTGGAGGTGGAGGTGGAGGTGGAGGTGGAGGTGGAGGTGGAGATGGAGGTGGTGATGGAGGTGGAGGTGGAGGTGGAAGTGGAGGTGGAGGTGAAGGTGGAGGTGGTGATGGAGGTGGAGGTGGAGGTGGAGGTGGAGGTGGAGGTGGAGGTGGTGATGGAGGTGGAGGTGGAAGGTGGAGGTGGTGGTGGAGGTGGAGGTGGTGATGGAGGTGGAGGTAGAGGTGGCGGTGGAGGTGGTGATTGAAGCGGAGGTGGAGGTGGAGGTGGAGGTGGAGGTGGTGATGGAGGTGGAGGTGGAAGTGGAAGTGGAGGTGGAGGTGGAGGTGGAGGTGGTGATGGAGGTGGAGGTGGAGGTGAAGGTGAAGGTGGAGGTGGTGATGGAGGTGGAGGTGGCGGCGGGGTGGATGGGGGTGCAAGGGTGGTGGTGCAAGGGCGGAGTGGAGTTGGCTGTGGTGATGGAGGTGGAGGTGGAGGTGGTGATGGAGGTGGAGGCAGAGATGGAGGTGGAGGCAGAGGTGGAGGTGGAGGTGAAGGTGGTGATGAAGGTGGAGGTGGAGGTGAAGGTGGAGGTGGTGATGGAGGTGGAGGTGGAGGTGGTGGTGGGGGTGGAGGTGAGGGGAGGTGGGTGAAGGTGGAGGTGTGAGGTGAGGTGGAGGTGAAGGTGGAGGGTGGTGAGGTGGAGGTGTGAGGTGCAGGTGGAAGGTGGAGGTGGATGGTGAGGAGGAAGGTGGGTGAAGGCGGAGGTGGAGGTGGAGGTGGAGGTGGAGGGGGAGGTGGAGGTGGAGGTGAAGGTGGAGGTGGTGATGGAGGTGGAGGCCAAGGTGGAGGTGAAGGTGGAGGTGGTGATGAAGGTGGAGAGCAGGAGGAGGTGCGGTGTAGGTGAGGTGAGTGTGATGGAGGTGGAGTGGAGGTGGATGTGGAGGTGGTGGTGGAGGTGGATGAGGGGCGTGGAGGTAAGGGCGGTGGAGGTGAGTTGCTGGGGCAGCGGTGGAGGTGGCGGTGGCGGTGGAGTGGAGGTGGAGGTGGAGATGAAGGTGGAGGCGGAGGCGGAGGTGGAGGTTAGGTGGAGGTGGAGGTGGTAATGGAGGTGGAGGCGGAGGTGGAGGTGGAGGCGGAGGTGGAGGTGGAGGCGGAGGTGGAGGTGGAGGTGGAGGTGGTGATGGAGGTGGAGGTGGAGGTAGAGGTGAAGGTGGAGGTGGTGATGGAGGCGGAGGTGGAGGTGGTGATGGAGGTGGAGGTGGAGGTCAAGGCGGAGGTGAAGGCGGAGGTGATAATGGAGGTGGAGGTGGAGGTGGAGGTGGAGGTGGTGATGGAGGTGGAGGCAGAGGCGGAGGTGGAGGTGAAGGTGGAGGTGGAGGTGGTGATGGAGGTGGAGGTGGAGGTAGAGGTGAAGGGTAGGTGGTGATGGAGGTGGAGGTGATAGTAGAGGTGAAGGTGAAGGTGGTGATGAAGGCAGAGGTGGAGGTGGAGGTGAAGGTGGAGGTGGAGGTGGTGATGGAGGTGGAGGTGGAGGTAGAGGTGAAGGGTAGGTGGTGATGGAGGTGGAGGTGGTAGTAGAGGTGAAGGTGAAGGTGGTGATGAAGGCAGAGGTGGAGGTGGAGGTGAAGGTGGAGGTGGAGGTGGTGATAGAGGCGGAGGTGGAGGTGGAGGTGGAGGTGGTGATGGAGGTGGAGGTGGAGGTAGAGGTGAAGGTGGAGGTGGAGGTGGTGATGGAGGTGGAGGTGGAGGTGGAGGTGGAGGTGGAGGTGGAGGTGGAGGTGGTGATGGAGGTGGAGGTGGAGGTGGTGATGGAGGTGGAGGTGGTGATGGAAGCGGAGGCGGAGGTGGAGGTGGGAGGTGGAGGTGGTGATGGAGGTGGAGGTGGTGATGGAGGTGGAGGCAGAGGCGGAGGTGGAGGTGGAGGTGGAGGTGGAGGTGGAGGTGGTGATGGAGGTGGAGGTGGAGGTAGAGGTGAAGGTGTAGGTGGTGATGGAGGTGGAGGTGGGTTTGTGGTTAGTAGATGTTGACGGTGATGGAGGTGGTGATGAAGGCAGAGGTGGAGGTGGAGGTGAAGGTTGAGGTGGAGGTGGTGATAGGCGGTGGAGGTGGGGTGAGGGGTGAGGTGGAGGTGGTGGTGAGGTGGAGGTGGATGGGGGTGGAGGTGGATGAGGTGGAGGTGTTGATGGGGTGGAGGTGGAGGTGGAGGTGGAGGTGGAGGTGGAGGTGGAGGTGGGGGTGGAGGTGGAGGTGGAGGTGGAGGTGGAGGTGGAGGTGGAGGTGGAGGTGAAGGTGGAGGTGGAGGTGGTGATGGAGGTGGAGGTGGAGGTGGAGGAGGTGGGTGGCAGAGCGAGGTGGAGGTGAAGGTGAAGGTGGAGGTGGTGATGGAGGTGGAGGTGGTGATGGAGGTGGAGGTGGAGGTGGTGATGGAGGTGGAGGCAGAGATGGAGGTGGAGGCAGAGGTGGAGGTGGAGGTGGTGATGGAGGTAGAGGTGGAGGTAGAGGTGAAGGTGGAGGTGGAGGTGGTGATGGAGGTGGAGGTGGAGGTGGAGGTGGAGGTGGAGGTGGTGATGGAGGTGGAGGTGCAGGTAGAGGTGAAGGTGAAGGTGTAGGTGGTGATGGAGGTGGAGGTGGAGGTAGAGGTGAGTGTGTAGGTGGTGATGGAGGCGGAGGTGGAGGTGAAGGTGGAGGTGGTGATGGAGGTGGAGGCGGAGGTGAAGGTGGAGGTGGTGATGGAGGTGGAGGTGGAGGTAGAGGTGAAGGTGGAGGTGGTGATGGAGGTGGAGGTGGAGGTGGAGGTGGAGGTGGTGATGGAGGTGGAGGTGGAGGTGGAGGTGGAGGCGGAGGTGGAGGTGAAGGTGGAGGTGGTGGTGGAGGTGGAGGTGGGGGGATGGCGGGAGGTGGAGTGGAAGTGTGTAGGAGGTGGAGGTGGCGGGGTGGTGGGGTGGTGGCGGTGGAGGTGGAGGTGGAGGTGGAGGTGAAGGTGGAGGTGGTGATGGAGGTGGAGGTGGAGGTGGAGGTGAAGGTGTAAGTGGTGATGGAGGCGGAGATGGAGGTGAAGGTGGAGGTTGTGATGAGGGGGGGGTTGAGGTGTGGTGGAGGTGGAGGTGGAGGTGGAGGTGGAGGTGAAGGTGTAGGTGGTGATGGAGGTGGAGGTGGAGGTGAAGATGGAGGTGGTGATGAAGGTGGAGGCAGAGGTGAAGGTGGAGGTGATAATGGAGGTGGAGGTGAAGGTGGAGGTGGAGGTGGTGATGGAGGTGGAGGTGGTAGTTGGTGAGGTTGGAGGCGGTTGGGTTGGGTGAGACGGTGGAGGTGGGTGATGGAGGTGGAGGGGTGATGGAGGTGGAGGTGTAACGGAGGTGGATGTGGATGTGGTGCTGGAGGTGGAGCGGTGATGGCGGCGGAGGCGGGGTGATGGAGGTAGGGCGGAGGCGTTGATGGCGGTGGGGGTGGTCACGTAGGTGGCGGTGGGGCAGTGAAGTGGAAGTGGAGCTGAGGTGGATGGAGGGCGGATGGAGGTGATGAGGGATGGTGATGGAGGCGGAGGTGGTGATGGAGGTGGAGGCGGTGATGGAGGTGGAGGTGGAGGTAGAGGTGAAGGTGTAAGTGGTGATGGAGGCGGAGATGGAGGTGAAGGTGGAGGTTGTGATGAAGGTTGAGGCCGAAGTGGAGGTGAAGGTGGAGGTGGAGGTGGAGGTGGAGGCGGAGGCAGAGGTGGAGGTGAAGGTGGAGGTGGTGATAGAGATGGAGGCAGTGATGGAGGTAGAGATGGTGATGGAGGTGTAGGTGGTGATGGAGATGAAGATGGTGATGGAGGCGGAGGCGGTGATGGAGGTGGAGGTGGTGATGGAAGTGGAGGCGGTAATGGAGTTGGAGGTGGTAATGGAGGTGGAGGTGGATGTGGTGATGGAGGTGGAGGCGGTGATGAAGGCGGAGGCGGTGATGGAGGCGGAGGCGTTGATGGAGGTGGAGGTGGTAACGGAGGTGGAGGTGGAGGCAGTGATGGAAGTGGAGCTGGTGATGGAGGCGGAGGCGGTGATGGAGGTGGTGATGGAGGCAGAGGCAGTGATGGAGGCGGAGGTGGTGATGGAGGTGGAGGCGGTGATGGAGGTGGAGGTGGTAATGGAGGTGGAGGTGGATGTGGTGATGGAGGTGGAGGCGGTGATGAAGGCAGAGGCGTTGATGGAGGCGGAGGCGGTGATGGAGGTGGAGGTGGTAATGGAGGTGGAGGTGGAGGCAGTGATGGAGGTGGAGGCGGTGATGGCGGTGGAGGTGGTAATGGAGGTGGAGGTGGTGGCAGTGATGGAGGTGGAGGCGGTGATGGCGGTGGAGGTGGTGATACAGATGAAGATGGTGATGGAGATGAAGATGGTGATGAAGATGGAGGCGGTGATGAAGGTGGAGGTGGAGGCGGTGATGGAGGCGGAGGCAGTGACAGAGGCGGAGACGGTGATGGAGGTGGAGGCGGTGATGGAGGTGGAGCCAGTGATGGAGGCGGAGGCGGTGATGGAGGTGGTGATGGAGGCAGAGGCAGTGATGGAGGTGGAGGTGGTGATGGAGGTGGAGGTGGTGATAGAGATGAAGATGGTGATGAAGGTGGAGGCGGTGATGAAGGTAGAGGTGGAGGTGGAGGTGGTGATGGAGGCGGAGGTGGAGGTGGAGGTGGAGGTGGAGGTGGAGGTGGAGGTGGAGGTGGAGGCGGAGGCAGAGGTGGCGGTGAAGGCGGAGGCAGAGGTGGCGGTGAAGGTGGAGGTGGTGATAGAGATGGAGGCGGTGATGGAGGTGAAGGTGAAGGTGGAGGTGGAGGTGGTGATGGAGGTGAAGGTGGAGGTGGAGGTGGAGGTGGAGGTGGTGATGGAGGCGGAGGTGGAGGTGGAGGTGGAGGTGGAGGTGGAGGTGGAGGTGGTGATGGAGGTGGAGGTGGAGGTGGTGATGGAGGTGAAGGTGAAGGTGGAGGTGGAGGTGGTGATGGAGATGGAGGCGGTGATTGAGGTGAAGGCGGTGATTGAGGTGGAGACGGTGATGGTGTTGGTTGTGCCAACAGCAGAGGTGAGAGTATTCCATGTCAATTCCACTGCCACAAGGGAATATGAGGTTTACTCTTGTCTCATAAAGAGGGATTGAGAATAAGCACTGAAGACTTCATGACCAAATAGCAACAGCGTAACAATGATAAAGGCAAAGTCCTGTGCCACGCTCTTCACATTGATTTTATCATATTTAAGTTTCCCAAAGTGCTATTTTTGTTGCCTCCTCTCTGCAGGAGGACACGCAGGCTCACAGGATTGAAGTGGCTGTCTGAAACCACAGAGCCAGTAAGCAGCAAAGAGGGCCAAGGGATTGAGAAGAGCAGCATGGACAGGAGAGAAAATGTGTCAGACACACGAGGTTCAGGGCTGTTATCCAAACACAGAGAACCAATACTCAACCGTAAGAATACGGACAACTGAGTAAGGAATGGGCCGGACACCTTGCTAGAACCTCACCAAAGACGACAAACACAGTGAAAAAGCAAATGGCAGGATGCTCCGCATCCTAGCCCTCAGGGAAGGGAAGTTAAACGAGGAGAGTCCACTGCACACCCATCAGAGCGCCAAACCCAGAGCACTGACACCGCCGAGTGCTGGCGAGGACGGGAGTGGTGGGGACCCCTTCACTGCCGGTGGGAACGCAGCCGGTGCGGCCGCTCTGGAAGGCAGCTCGGTGTCTCACACACTGCACAGCCTCGTGGGACCCAGCAGTCACGCTCCCTGGTGTTTGCCCAAAGGAGCTGAAAGCCGATGTCCACACAAAGCCTGCGCATGAATGTTTATGATGTTTTATTCAGAATTGCCAAAACTTGGAAACAACTAAGAAGTACTTCTGTGAGTGGGGAGAGGTCAATGAGGGGAAAAGGAGACATTTAATACTTTAAACAATAAAGAACTTGAATTAAGAAGAAGAAGGAGGAGAAGGAGGAGAAGGAGGAAAGAGGAGGAAGAGGAGGAAAAGGAGGAGGAAAAGGAGAAGAAGGAGAAGAAGAACTTTCGTGAGAGGATGGACAAATAAACTGGTTCATCAGACAGTGGAATGTTATTCAGCACTGAAAAGGAAGGGCTCCTGGCCAGGTAGCTTAGCTGGTTAGAGCATCAGCCCAATATGCCAAGGCTGCCGGTTCGATCTCCAGTCAGGGCACATACAGGAATCAACCGATGAGTGTATCAATAGGTGGAGCAACAAGTCCATGTCTCTGTCTCTCTCTCTCTCTCTCTCTCTCTCTCTCTCTCTCTCTCTCTCTCTCACACACACACACACACACACACACACACACACACACACACATTAATAAATAAAAAATAGCCCTAACCGGTTTGGCTCAGTGGATAGAGAGTCGGCCTGGGGACTGAAGGGTCCCAGGTTTGATCCGGTCAGGGGCATGTACCTTCGTTGCTGGCACATCTCTAATAGGGAGTGTGCAGGAGGCAGCTGATTGATGTTTCTCTCTCATCAATGTTTCTAACTCTCTATCCTTCTGTAAAAAAAAAATCAATAAAATTTATATTTTTAAAATAAATATAAAAATAAACAAATGAGCTGTCAGGCCATGAAGAGACAGGGAGGAACTGAAATGCATGATTGAGTGGAAGAAGCCAATCTGAAAGGCTGTGCGACATCTGGAGAAGGCAGCGCTGTGGAGACAGTAAAGACCATGGTGGCTGCCGAGACCGGTTTGGCTCAGTGGTAGAGCGTCGGCCTGTGGACTAAAAGGTTCCAGGTTCGATTCCAGTTGAGGGCATGTACCTTGGTTGCGGGCACATCCCTGGTAGAGGGTGTGCAGGAGGCAGCTGGTCGATGTTTCTCTCTCATCGATGTTTCTAGCTCTCTATCCCTCTCCCTTCCTCTCTGTAATAAAAAATATATTAGAAAAAAAAGACCACGGTGGCCAGGGGCTGGGGGAGGGCGGGAGGGGGCAGAGGGTTTTAGGGCCGGGAAACTAATCTGTGTGGTACTAAGATGGCGGGCACATGTCATTACACATTGTCCAGCCCCACAGAACGTGCAACCCCGAGGGCAGCCGCAGTGCACACCGTGGCTCTGGGTAATGATGTGTCAAAATGTGTTCATTAATTGTGAAACTGTACTATTCTGGTGGGAACTTTGGCCATGGAGAAGACTGCGCATGTGTAGAGTGGGGAGTGTGCAAGAAATCTCTGTACCTTCCTCTAGATTTTGCTGTGAACCAAAACTGCTCTTAAAAAGTCATCTTTTAAAGAGACAGACCTGGAACAGTGGTCAGTACTGGGAAGGGGGCAGCTATTCCTCCCATTCCCTTGTCTGAGCCTGCACACCACACACACCAACATAACACCATGTGCATTGCATACTCAGTTACATGTACATGTGCGCGTAGTTGGACATACATGTGAGCACTTGTGCACATTTCTATATATTAGCACATGTGTGTGTCTGCTTGCACATATAAGTGCACACGCATGTACACCTACACCATTGGGCATGTATGTACACCGTGGTGCATTCATTTATATAGTCATATTTGTGCATGCATGTACATGTTAACATGTTGTGTGTGCACACATACATGTACACTATATGGCACCCTCTGGTGTATGCGCACTCACATGTGTGTGTGTGTGCTCACATATGTGTACGCACATCTGCCCTCCCATGCTGTCTCTATATGGTGCCCATCCTGTCTTTGCATGCTATCTCCCCACATGTCCCCTCATACTCTCCATGCTGTACCTCCACGGTCCCCACACTCTCCCCATACCCTCCCCGGCACTGTCCCTGTGATGTGTAGGGGCCTCATAGCCTGGCCACCCCACTGGGCCCCACAAGCTTTCTCATTCTGAGCACACCGATGCTGAGCCGCCCAGCGCCAGGCGTGAACAGGAGCCTGGGATGGACTAGCGAGCACTCCTCTCAGGGTCACTGCGGGCCCACGAGCCCTCATGGCTGGGAGCACCATCTGTCAGGAGTCAGGGAACTGTCTGGGGCACACCAAGGCTGGTCCCTCGCCTCCCTCTCTCCCCAGCCCAGGGCCCCTCCCCCGAGGAGCTGTGCACTCCACGCCAGGCCAGCCAGCCACCAGCCAGGCCGGCCAGCACAGCCCTCCCCCCGGCAGCTGCGGGGGCTCACCAGGCGGGGGCTTCGGCAGGGCCCAGCTTACCTGAGGATGACATACATGACGAGGCAGTTCCCCAGCAGCCCCCCGACGCACACAGCCAAGTAGAGACCCACGATGGTGACCTTGAGCCCGAGGGGCAGGAAGGCCGCATGGCTGACATTGAGCAGCAGGTCAGGGGGCAGCAGGCTGTGGTTGGGGCTCAGGAGGCCGTCCTGCAGGTCACCGCTGTAGGCCTCCCCAGGCGGGGTGGGGAACAGGCACTCCATGCTGCTGCCCTGCCTGCGCAGCCGCTCGGAACCTGGGAGGCACAGGGACACGTGACCACGGCGCCTGACACCCACCCAGCTGAGGCCTCCGGCACCATGTGCGTGGCCCGCAGGCACGTGAGTCCCCCAGGCCCAGAGGGACACGCTGCCCACAGGGACACAGGCCCACAATGTGCGCACACAGGGACACACAAAGCACAGATCCATGCCTGCCAATACAGGGACACACAGCACACAAATGTGCATACCCAGAGGCACAGGCACATATGCAGACATGAGGCACAGACGGGGACACACAGAGAACATGTGTGCACATACATGCTCAGTTTCATTTGATCTGCAGACCCCCACATGGGATGTGTGGGTATAGGTATACACGGGGACATGATTCCCTGCAGGGACTCCTGCGCATGCAGCTGCCCTGTATGCTCACAGGCACAGGGACACATGGGCATGGCACACACATACACCCAAGCCTGCCTTCCTGCGCACACAGGCACAAAAGGGAGCAGACATGCCCAGGAGTACCTGAGACAAGGACACAGGGGGCATGAGCACAGCTTCCGCCCGCCCCGCCCTGAGTACAGCCGGTCACCCCATACCCACAGCCAGTGGCGCAGGCTTACCTCGGCACCCCGGGGAGCTGGGGCCGTGAAGACCTGGCCCTGACCTACGAGCAGCTGCGGCTCCTGCCCGAGCAGCCGGGTCTGGCTGGGCTGCCGCAGAGGCAGCTGCTCCTCCTCAGCAGACGCAGAGCAGCCTCAGCCGCAGGAGCAGGCGGGAGAGGCTGCCGCGGAGGGGGCGGGGCTGCGCGGGCTGGAGGCGAGGCTGCAGAAAGGGGGCCGCCAGCCCTTCACTGGGTGGGGCAGATACAAGGACCAGGGCACACATGTAGAGATGAATGACAGCCAAGCTCAGACACAGACATAGGGACACAGATGCAGACAGGAAGGTAGACAAAAGGACAAACACAAGAACACATGGGGACTCAGAACAGGCACATGGACACACACACACACATACACACACACAAGGACACAGAGACACACACAAGGACACAGAGAGACACACACACAAGGACACAGACACACACAAGGACACAGACACACATAAGGACAGAGACACACACACACAAGGGCACAGAGAGAAACACACACACAAGGACACAGACACACACACCCAAGGACACACACACACAAGGACACATACACAAGAACACACACATACACACACACACACACAAGGACACAAAGAAGCGCACGGCATGGGACAGAGACAGCAGGAAGTGTACATGAAACACACAACTAGGACATAGCTATGGGGCCATGTCTCAAATGCAGAGACGCCTAGGAGGGGCTCAGAGTGCCTGTTTGAGGCTCCCAAGGGAGCTGAGCTACAGCGGGCCAGCAGGTGGCAGGGTGCCCTTCTTGGCCAGCCTCGGGTGGATCAGTCTTGTCAACAAGCAGGATACCTGGACTCTACTGTGTGTACCTGCTGTATGCCCCACATGCCTCCAGGCTCCAAGCCAGTACACACATGAACACATCCACCCGCATCACACCAGCATCGCTATCAGCATCACCTTTGTGCAGCGAGAGCATCAGGACTCAGAGGTGTGAAGCCACCTATCAAAGTGGCAGAGACAGGGTTTGAACCCAGATTGTTCTGTCACTTTGAGGCACACTAAGGAGGTCTGCGCCACAGTTGGGCCCCAGAGTAACATCTGAGTATCATTCTCTCATGGCCTGGCCTCAGCCAGCACACAGCTGCCAGCCCCCACTGGGACGCTCCATCCTAACACCAGACTCACATGCCATGTCAGGAACCCCTCAACTGAGTTGTCAGCCCCACCAGTCATGGGGTCAGCCTTCCTGCACAGGCTCTGCCCACACATCCCAGACCCTGTCTGAGCCTCCGTCTCCAAGTTGGGGATGTGGTTGCTAGGTGACTGGTGCAGCGTCGCTAGGATATCTGGGGAATCAGAAGAGGGCAGTGTGAGCAGATGCCTCAGGACTCAGCATCCCAAGCTGTCCCTTAGGACCTGTCTCTGTATCTTTGCAGCAGCTGACTCAGGGACACGTGAGGACTTGGGCACAACATACAGGCTCACATGTCTGCAAACAGGCACATGGGAAACACACAGACATGGGCACAGACACTCACAGGGATGCACAAACACCTGAGCCTCACACATGCAAACCCATACGGCACAAGGTTAGACATGAGGGAACAGGCAGGCAGAAGGTAAGGACCTCAGACACCCGGGTACACACATGGGCACCATCTCTCCAGGGGAAGCTTGGTCCTGCTGACTTCAGAACCCAAGAGGCTCACCTCCTACAGCTGCCCCAGCTAGGCTCCCCACGGTCTCAGCAGCCAACCCTCGTCCCTCCTGCATCCAGGGAACCTCTATGGAAAGACGGGGGCAGGGATGGACAGTCCTTTGTGGAGCCTGGGGGTGGGGTCCATAGCTTGGAATGTAGGGGCAGAGACTCCCGGGGGGAGGAGGGCGGGGCGGGTCTTGTTCCCTGGCCCCAGGAGGCCAGAGCAAGCTTGCAGCAATGGGGGACAATGAGCAGCCTCCTGCAGAGAGGCCCCGCCTTCCGCTGAGACTCCTCCACAGCTGGCTGCTACCCGCTGGCGGCTCAGGTCCTGCACTCCCAGCGCCAACGGTCCTCAGGACACATCCGTGAGTGAGGGCGAGAGTGGCATAGGCACTGTGGCAGCCACCGATACTTGAACAAATTATGACTTAAAGCACTAATTTGGGCCCAACATAAACTGTAGGATGAGCATATGAATTAATGAATTCCAGAACAAACTGATGAGTGCATGAACAAATTACAGAATCAAATGAGATGTGAACTGGTTATAGAAGAGTATAGAGGGAAAGGGCTCAGCGCCAAGGTCCTCAACTTGCCCTCAAAACTAGCCTCAGAGAGCGCCGGCAGGAGGCGGAGCGCCCGCACAGCGCCCCTGGTGCCCCAGGAAAGAGCTCACGGGACAAAAAGGCTGGGGCGCTGCCGTAGCAGGTGGCGATGGGTCCGCTCACCCGGACCGCGGTTCTGCCCACGCCCCCAGGCTAGGGGCCACTCACTGAGGCCGGGCTTGGGGAGGGGCGGGGCTCCCCGTTGCCGGGCAACCGCGCGTCACAGGCCCGCGTGAGTTCAGGCTTCGTTGGAGGCTCAGACTCCCGAAGCCAAAATGTACGGGGTGTCGGAAAGGGAAGGGGGGCAGGACCTGGCCCGGGGTCTGGGGCCTGGGGCGCTATGGGCTGGACCCCGGGAAGGGAGGAGTCCTAGAGGGGAGACCTATGGACCCTGGTGAGCCCTCCCCCTCTATCCCCTCCTCCCTAGACCAACGGGGGGCAGACCAGGAAGATGGGTCTCCCCGGAAGCAAGCCCGTGTCCATTGGGCTCTGAGCCTCCCCTGGGGCTTCAGCACTGGAGGCCTGGAGCCCAGAGGGTCTGCCAGCGAGGGTCTGCCTGGGAGCGTCTGCCTGGGACGGTGTGCCTGGGACGGTCTGCCAGCGAGGGTCTGCCTGGGAGCGTATGCCTGGGACGGTGTGCCTGGGACGGTCAGCCTGGGACGGTCTGCCTGGGACAGTCAGCCTGGGACGGTCTGCCAGCCAGGGTCTGCCAGCGAGGGTCTGCCTGGGACAGTCTGCCTGGGACGATCTGCCTGGGACGGTCTGCCAGCGAGGGTCTGGCAGGGACGGTCTGGCAGGGACGGTCTGGCAGGGACGGTCTCTAGGCCTCTGAGAGGGTCACACTGGTTGCGCCATGGGTGGGGCCTGAGGGCAATTCAAGGGTCACAGCATTTTCTCGGGGGACAGAGAAACAGCCCGCGGGCAGGAGTGGAATTTCCTGCAACTCCCAGAAGAACAGAAAGTTCTAGCAGGCCTGACAGGCTGAAGGGTGCTGCTAGGTTTGGCCCGGGCTGAGGCTGGAGGCGCGGGCTTAGGGCGGCTTCGGGGCCTAGAGGGGGCGGCATTGCCCTCGGACGGCGTGCGGGCCGGTGACGGCGTCCTCCTCCCTCAGCGGCCGGGATGCCAGGGCCCGGGATGCCGGCGGCCGCACCGGAGGCGGCGAGCAGGGAGCCGCGGGGGAGAGCGGGGAGGGGCGCGCCGGGCGCCCCGCCCCGGGAGAAGCGCGCCCAGGGGGCACGGGCCAGGGAGCCCCCCGCGCCCGGCTGGGCTCTGTCCCTGAAGGGGCTGGAGGCCATGAGCCCCCAGCAGCGCCACCGCCACCTGCTCTTCGGGGACCTGCTTGACGACGTGGGTGCGGCCGCCTCCATCTTCCCGCGCGAGTCCGCGGAGCTGGGGTACGGGATGCCCGACCCGCGGGCGTGGACGCAGTCGCTGGAGTCGGCGGCAGCGCGCCAGGACCGGCTGCTCGGCGTCCTCAAGGCGGCCGAGGCCCGCGGCCGGGTGCGCGCCTTGCGGTTGCGCTACACCTTCATGCGGGTCAGGGCACGGCCACGGGGGCGGGCACGGAGGAAAGGGGTGGGGACGGCCCAAAGCGGGGGTGGGTGGGGGGGCTTGTTCCCTGCGGGAGCGGAGGGTGCGGCGGGCAGCCGCTCGGGCTCAGGAGCCCCGCACGGCCTCCCCGCAGGCGGAGGAGATCACGCTGCTCATCCAGCGACAGAAGTCGGCGAGCGCCGCCATCCGGCTGGAGCTGTTCCTGCCACCGCAGCTGAAGCCCACGCGCATCCCGGACCCTCTGGACCGCCAAGAGGTGCCCGCCGGCCCGGGGAGGGGCGGAGGGGGGCCGCCCGCGCCCAGCACACCTGGCCCCAGCCCCTCTCCCGCAGCGGAGGCGCGTGGAGACCATCCTGGAGGAGAAGGTGGACAGCAGGAACTTCCTGCACTGACGGCCTGGCGCAGGGGCCGCACCCCCACCTCCCGCATAAAGTCCTCTTCTCCAACGCCTGTCTCTCTGCTCCCTGCAGCCCGGGGCAGGGGCCCAGAGCCGGCATCTCCCACAAAGCGGGAAGGTGCAAGGGAGTGGTGTCAGGTAGACAGGGACGGGGACTCCCTAACCTGACAGACCCAGGCTGTCCCCCGGCAGCAGAGGGGAGAGAGCCTGGCTCACAACAAGCACCGCTACAGGGGGAGAGGGCAGCCCCAGCACCCCCGGCTGCAGGTCCCCCACGGGTTCAGAGAGCAAGTGACTGCACATGCCAGGCTGCCCTTGGGCGCAGTGGCTGGCCGTCCTGGGGAGAACCAGAGGTGGGGAGGGGGGGGCCGGCCCTGCACCTCTGGCTTTCCTTTCCATCTGAATGGCCGCCTCTGCCCTGTCCATCTCCCTGACCAGCGCGTGCGCACACACACACACACACATGCGCACACACGGAAGGACACTGCCCTGTCCCATTTGGATGAACCCATGTCCTGCAAATCTTCTAGATTCTGAAGAGCCTCCAAGTTTCTGGACAGACCTTGGAGAATACTCCTGCTGTTTGCAGAGCCCAGGACTTCCCTCAGCCCCCTTCCACCCCCTTCACCCCTCACCACCCCCAGACTGCTGTGGGGGCTTCAGGGACTCCACAAGCTCCACCCCCAGGAGCCCTCCCCACCCCCAATAGGCTGCAGTGCAAAGACCCTGGAGGGGTGCATTCTTTACTCCCTGGGTCAGAGCTGGGGTCTGGCAAGGAAGCTTGCTCAGTGGTCACTACCCCTCTCTAGCCCAGCTCAAGGGGGGCCACTGCAGGTGGCCTGGGCCCTCTGCACCCGCAGCAAGCCCCGCCCCGGAGTGACCCTTCGCCCTCTCTGGGCTCTTGCTGCCTTTGGCCTGGATCACACCCAGGACTGTGTGTGGAACTGGAGTCTGGAAACTCCGGGGGGTGGGGAGTCAGTGCTGTGGGAGGGAGGTGTTCAGGAAGGAAGAGGCAAGGAGGAAGGAGAGACGGACAGGGAGGCATTCTATCCGGGAGTGATGGCCGCTCACATCCTGACATGCCCTGGACGGCAGCAGCCCTGGCTCCGCTGGCCCAGCTCCCTGCAATGGGGACGCCAGCGTTCTGTCTCCTGAGAATGTGCTGAGGGCCTAGGATGAGTCCACGTGTTAGTAAAAGCACATTTCATTCCATCGCTTCTCTGGGCCTTCATTTCTTCATCTCTACAACCGAGACCTCAGGAGCTCCGCTGGGTGCCATGCCGTCCACACAGCACCACTCCACCAGGGAGGGCACTGCCTTAGGCGGGCACCAAGGGCAGGACAACACAGACATGCCAAGCCCTAGGAGGCCGGCAGCAGAGCAGCTCACAGACGCCGTGCACCGCGGGTCCAGCTGGCACATGCCAAGGCGGGACCTAGGTCTCAGAGGAGGCCGAGGGAAGTGCACAGGAGGTGGCTGGGCCTGGAGGCGGCGGCTGCTGTGAGCAGCCCGTGGACTAAGACTCAGTGTGTGGGGCTGGGAGGGGTCGGGTGGTTCCCAGGGCAGCAACGTATGCTCTGGAAAGAGGGTCCTGAGTTTGAATTCCACCTCCACCATTATATATATTTTCACTGATTTCAGTGAGGAAGGGAGAGGGAGAACAAGATAGGAAACATCAATGATGAGAGAGAATCATTGATGGGCTGCCTCCTGCATGCCCACGCTGGGGATCGAGCCACAACCCGTGCATGTGCCCTTGACCAGAAATGAACCCGCTGGCAGACACTCTATCCACTGTGCCAAACCAGCAAGGGCATCTGCTCCACCGTTTTCTTGAGTTTCTGCCCAGCCTGCCTGGGCTCCTCCGTGGAATGTGGGGACCCTCTACAGACACAGACTCCCTAGAGGAAGTACAGGACACCCAGAAAGGCCGAGAGAAGTGGGTGGAAAGCAGGCCCAAGTGGCCAGGGAACACGGGGAGAGGCTCAAAGGGGCAAAGAGCCACAGCCAGCCGCCACCCATTTCTCAGGCGGGCGTAGCTGCTGCGCCAAGGGATCAGCCTGGCCGAGTGGCCCACCCAGTACTGGCCTGTCTTTGTGGGACCTCCGGTCTGGACAGGCCCTCGGCCTCTGCCCCTGTCCTAGCCAGCCTGTCAACATGGGCCCAAGCATCACGAGGCTCTCCAGGCTCTAGGGCCTGTCGCCCCTCTGCCCCCTCCCCTGCCTCTTCACCTCTCACCCAGGATAGGCAATCTGCTCCAGGCCTGTCTGTCACCCCCCGCGAGGCCCACTGGAGGAGAGTGTGCGAAGTCTGCACTTCCCTTCACACCTCGAGTTCTGGGAGCCTGTCCACGGACGACCTGTGCAACCTTGCCGTTTGGTGAGCAAGCCCAGTGTCGGAGCTGTGCTGGCTGCCGCCTGCAGGGCACCCGCTGGGACCAGGGGTCACACCCACTGCAGGCCCCGAGCATGGGCAGGGCCACCGCGACGCTCCCAAAGCTGGGATAGGAACTGAACTGCCAGCTGTGCCAGCTAGAACGCCAGCCGCCGGCGGACGTGGTGCAAACTGTAGGACACCTCGGGGCAACGTGAGGGGTTAGAAGGGACTCGGCCCAAGGCCCCACGGATGGGACATGTGATGACTCCAGATGCAAGAGCCCACCCCACCCCGCCCCGCACCCAGGGCCCGCCCCTTCCTTGGTAACCACGGGAGACGGGGCTCGTCCCCTCATCTCACCGGGGCCGCCTGGCAGAGGCGGGCAGAGAGGAACGCGCGGCCTGGCGCCGCCTCGGCCCCCTTCGGAGCAGCATCCAGGCGCCCGCGTCAGGCAGCGCCGGGCGCCGGCCGAGCCGCCGGGCACTCCACACCCTCCGCGCCTCCAGCCGCAGCCCGGGCGCGGGAGCGGACGCGGGACGAGGGCGGGGCCGCTGGGCGCGGGGGCGGGGCGGGGGCGGTACGGGCGGGGCGGGGCGAGGCCTGCGGGGCGGGGCGGGCAGGGGGAGGGGGCGGGGCGGGCAGGGGAGGGGGCGGGGCGGGGCGGGGCGGGCAGGGCGCGGGGGCGGGGCCTGTGGAACGGGGCGGGGCGCGGGCTCCGGGCGAGGAAGTGCCGCGCTTTAGGGAAGCGCCGCGCCTGCGCACAGCACCTCGCTGCCCGCTACGACGGCCGGCCTCGGCCCAGCGCGGGAAGCCGGGCGGTGAGCGCCCCGCGGCGCTGGCCCGTGGCCCCCTCTGCGGCCGGGCGTGCCGGCGTGTGGGCTCCGGCTCCGCACCCCGAGGGCTCCGCGGCGGGTCCACGTGGCCCGGGCCGGAGGGACGAGTCCCCCCACGCGCGGGGGAGGGGTGCACTCCGGTTCCCCTTTTCTGCAGCCCGAGCTGGGGAAGCGATTGCTCAAAGGGCCGGAAGAGCCGGGTTTCCGCGTCTCCCGCCCCTCGGCTGGTGGGAGGGCGGAGGCGGGACCCGCCGTCGGATCGGGCAGCTCCTCGGACCCGCGATCTCAGAGGAGGCGGCCCCCACCCCGATCGACAGGCCGGCGGCCGCGGCTGGAGCCGCGGGAACCTCCGCCGCCGGCGCCCCCCCTGCGCAGCCCGGAGCCCGAGCGCACCTGGCCCTCCCGCGCCCGCTCGCCTCGGGTCGCTGGTGAGTGGGCGCCACGGCGACTTCCTTGAGGTAGGGTGGGGGCCGCGGGTCCCTGCAAAAGGAGACAGGCTTTTCCAGGTCGGGCCCTCGAGGAGGGTCCCCGCCGCCGCTGGAAAGGGGGCTGGGGCGAGGGTCCCTGGGTTATTGGCCTTGGAGGAGCCAGCCTGGGGCTCCCCCACCAGCCTAATGGGGGGGGGGGGGGCGCAGCAGGGAGGAACGGTACTGAGTAGGATCCGAAGGGAATGGAGCTCGAAGGTGATGGCAAGTCTACCTAGAGCAGCACTGGCTGCCCGTCCAGCCTCCTTCACCCAGAACAGGGAGGGGGCTTCCAGGGGATGGGGAAGGGGAAGGAGCCAAACGCCCTCCAAATGCCCGGGTGAGGGGCAGGAACCCAGCCCGGAGGGAGGAGGGGCCAGGCCAGCCTGACGGAGGCAGCCCAGGGCCTCCAGCCTGGACAGCAAGAACTCGCCCCCTTCGGCCCCGGCCTGCGCCCGCCGCCCGCAGAGGCCGCTCCAGTTCAGACTGAGCCGGAGAGGGCAGCCCGCAGGTGCTAGGGGCTGGGGGACCGGACTGAGGCCCTGCCCCGCCGACGGGCGGGTGCAGAGGAGGAAGAGCACTCAGCCTGGGGAAGTACAGCAGCCTGGGGTACAGCAGGGGCCTCAGAGGCTGCCACACCCCTTCCTTTCCCTAGAACCTGACCCTGAGGGGAAGGCTGTGGCTGCTGCTTCCCCGTCTGCTTGCTGGGAACCCCTGGGACCAAGTTTGAATCCTACCCTCTACCCTGCCGTGACCTCGGGGCTGTAGGGGCTAAGGCCCCAGGGGCCCTGTGCCTTGCTCCCAGTCATGGGGCAGGGCAGGGCCTCGGTGCCAGGCCCCGGAGACAGGGTGCCCTGAGCATGTGCGTGTGCCATCGCCTGGGCACCTCACACCGGGGCCGGGGCCAGAACGGGGACTGCCAGGGCCTGTCCCTGAGCATCCACCCTCCTCCTGGCCACGGCCTAGCGCCCACAGGGGCCACGAAGGATTAAAAGCCCCTCAGCTGAGTGATGAGAAAATCCAGTGAAACCAAGTCGTGAGCCTCCCGCGGCTGAGGCCGGCAGGGTGTGGGGGGCTCAGGAAGGTTTGCGAGGCAGGTGGGCAGGGCTCCCAGGCCCTGTGGGCCCTCACCTGGACCAAGGTGAGTGCAGGCAGGGGCCGTGGAGGGGAGACATTCAAACCTGCCTCCAGGGTGCTGATTGGCTGCCCTGTGCTGTCGCTTTCGAGGCGCAGTACTTGGGGAGCCACAGTCTTCTCCCTGGAGACACATGCGGGCTGCCCTGCTCCAGCCTTCAGCCCTCCCACCCCCCCACGCACTCCCTGCCAGAAAGGCTGCGGACACTGAGGACACAGCCCTTGCCTCCCCGGGGTACCCCGCAGTTCCAGCTAGGGAGCAGGACACCCCCTCCCCTCCCGCTGAGCCCCTGCACCCCTCGCCCCACATGTGCCCGCTCTGGCAAGTTTGCCCCCGGGAGGGGAGAAGGGAGGGGCGGGGAGGCGGGGAAACCTGGGCAGTAAGTGGCCAGCTGGGGTTTGGGGCTACCAGGGGCCACGTCGCGGAGGACAGAAAGCTCATGGCTCTCCTCACCGGGAGCCCCGCTCCCGTTCCTCTCACCCGCAGGCTGCACACGCCCCTGCTGAGTCCCAGTGCGGGCATTGCTGTGGGGCCCACGGGCAGATCTGGATTCCTGGTGGGAAGCAGCCCAATCACCCCCCATACACAACCTCCCAGAAACCCAGGACGGAGGGAGCTGGGAGAGGCCTTCTGCATGTGTAACCACCCTCCCTGTGCCTGACTGACAGCCCCAGGCTCTTGGGGCCCCCGGTCCCCTTGGGAGGGGCCAGGAGCCGGAAACCAAGAAAGAGGAACCCAGGCTTCCGGCTTCCCAGGGACCGAGCAGATGGGGGTGTCCCGGAGCCTCCTGTGGAGCGCTCCACAGCCTCGTGCAGGCTGGCGAGGCCGCAGGCAGGGGAGCAGGCCCTGCTGGGGCTCCAGGAGGGAGGGGGCGGCGCCCCAGACCCTCCCGGGAACCGCGGGACCGGGTCTCGGGTTCGCTGAGCACCGTGGCCTCTCCTCAGACCCCAGGTTGTGGTGAGGGTCCCGAGCCGGCATCACGGAGCCCGAGCGACGACCTCACCCATGCCCACCGCGCATGAGGCCGAGAAGCAGGTGCACCTCCGCCACCCGGCCTCGCCCCCTCAGGGACCGGGGGGCAACGAGGAACTGAGGGACCCCGGCACCAGGGAGCGTGTCCACCCGTGACTGAGGCGCCCGTCTCCCCCAGCACACAGGGCCCGCGGAGGCAGACCAGCCTCCCTCCATGTCCAGTCATGCGGGGGCGCCGGCTGCCCCCAGCCGCAACCCCTGCTGCTTGTGCTGGTGTTGCTGTTGCAGCTGCTCCTGGTACGTGGGGGTGGGGAGGGGTGGGCTGAGCAGACCTGGGCCCAAGACCCCACTCCCTGACCCTCGTGTGGCTTCCGAGGCATCACCCGACGGCAGGACACCTGCCACCCACAGCACATAGCAAGGGCTGCCGGGTTCTGGTGGCTGGCAGCCAGTGCCCGCGTGTGCCCTTTTATTCAGCCCACGCTTTCTGCCACCATGGCAGCCTGGCCTGCAGACCCACACTGTCGGTGGAGGGGGCTGAGCAGAGACCTGGCCTGGAGACGGTGGAGACAGACCCTTGGGGCAGCCGCTGGAGTGGGCCTGGGCCTCCAAGTCATCCCGGGGCTTGGGCGGCATCTGGGGAAGCTGTTGAGTTTGTGTGCCTTTCAGAGGCCTGCCCCCCTCAGGCCTCCAGCCCTGAATTGTTGAGTGGACAGCACTGCAGGGAACCGGGAGGCGGGCGGGGGCTGACCTGTGAGCAAGTGAGACGGGAGCCTAGGCCCAGGATGGCTGGGGGGGAGAATCTGAAGAGCTAGGACTCACTGCGAGCTTGGCTTTGGAGGCCAGGGCGGGTTTGGGGTCCGGCGGGCACCGCAGCTGCGGAGTGCAGTGGACACTGGTGTGAGGTGTCCGCAGCCAGGTGCGGTCACTGGGAGCCCGGGAAGGCCCCAAGGCGAGAAGACACGGAGGTCCTGGGTCAGACGTAGCTGGAGCAGCCAGGGCCCGGGGGCGGGCGGAGGAGCAGATCCTGGGGTTGCCACTGCGGAGGCTCCTCATGTCCACGTGCTGAGTGTCCACCTTCACTCATGGGGCCTCGTGTCTGCCATCAGGAGTGAAGGGCGGCGACCAGCATGGCGGGCTTCCGGGGAGAGCAAGCTACAGCCCCTCCCCAGCTGCGAAGCCTGGTGAGTCCGGGGCAGGAGCGGCCGGGGGGGGGGGGGGGGCGGCCGGGGGGGCGGCACGGGCTTGACGCGGCGGGTGCCCCAGCAGCACTCCGAGCCCCGAGGAGGTGCAGAGCTGGGCACAGTCCTTCGACAAGCTGATGCACAGCCCCGCGGGCCGCAGCGCGTTCCGGGCCTTCCTGCGCACCGAGTACAGCGAGGAGAACATGCTCTTCTGGCTGGCCTGCGAGGAGCTCAAGGCCGAGGCCAACCAGCACGTGGTGGACGAGAAGGCGCGGCTCATCTACGAGGACTACGTGTCCATCCTCTCCCCCAAGGAGGTGAGCTTGGACTCCCGCGTCCGGGAAGGCATCAACAAGAAGATGCAGGAGCCGTCCGCGCACACGTTCGACGACGCACAGCTGCAGATTTACACGCTCATGCACCGGGACTCCTACCCCCGCTTCCTCAGCTCCCCCGCCTACCGCGCCCTGCTGCTCCAGGGGGACCCCCCGTCCTCCCACGAGGCCTAGGCCACCCCCGTGGGCAGAGACTCGGGTCACCTTCCCCATGTGGCAGGGTGTGGGCACACCAGCCCCAGGGCTAGTGCCCTGAGGTCCTGCTAACGGGCCGGGGTGCTGGCCGGCCAGGGGCTCCTGCCTGATGAGGGGCGGCCCTCCAGGGGCATCTGGGATCCACCAGGCTCAAGAGGCCTGGGCCGGAGAAGCGGCAGTGACGGGAGAGGCCTCGCACTGGCCGGTGTGGGACTCGGCCGGGCCTTCCAGCGGAGCGCTCTGCTCCCAGAATCAGACCCGGGACCTTCACACTGGGCTCCAGGCGGCAGGACCCAGTTTCTCTCCTCTGTGCCCATTCACTTTGAATCTGGAAACATGTCCTCGCTGTGTTTTATAAGGAAAAAAGTTTTCATATTTATCTCCATCCCACCTCCCCAACACAGGATATCTGTTATTGAAGATACTTTTAAAGCGAGTCTCCGCCTTCCTGTCCTCCGGGCGGGAGCGCAGCTCTGTGCTCACCCTCACTAAGGGCCCCACAGCACCTCGCCGGGACTGGCAGTGCAATGGCCCGCACTACCCAAGCCTCGGGGGGGCAGGTCCTGGAACGCCTCAAAGGTCGCCCCCAGAGACTGGCCTGCAGGGGCAGCACCCATGGGTGGACCCCAGTGCCAGACACTGTTCATTCCCGTCTCAGGAGGTGCTGGCCACTCGTCCCTGAATTTCTGGGACGCAAAGGGGTTCGATGCTGCATGTGGTCCGAGGCGCTGAGCTAGTTGGGGACCTGCCTCCCCGAGCAGAGCAGCTGAGGACTGGCCGTTGGAAGGCCGCCTGCCGGCGGAGGCTGAGGGCCCCAGGCTCGCCTTGGGCCCTGCCCGGGGAGGAGGCCGGGTCCTCTGTGTGCCCACGGCCCCCTCCACCCAGTCCCTCCAGCTCTGGTCCCCCATGGCCACACCGTGTCCCCGACTCAGTGGGAACCCAACTCACAGCCCACGCTCTGTGTAGTCCACCAGAACCAAAGCCCAGGGCAGTGTGGTGGCAAAAAGAAACTTTAATAGTTTGGAGAAAGGTGCGCTGCAGATGGGGGGCGGACGTCTGCCTTCTGGGCACAGCCAGGAAGGCACAGGCAGGGCTCCAGAGAGGCTGTGTCCACAGGAGGCGAGGAGGGGACGGCCAGCGCTGGCCGCCACTGCAGGCACATCTGCATGAGGGCTCAGCAGAACTACAAGGAATGGGGGACACAGCTGGGTGACCCTGAGGGCGGCCAGGGTCTCCCCCACCCTCACCAGCGCTCCCAGGAGGCTGGCTGAGCAGGGCAGCCACCACCCGGGCCAGAGAGGCCCCCAGAGGGAGGGCGGGCTCCCACGCACCTTCCAGCGGTTCCCACACTCATTGCAGACAACAAACGTGGTCATCGGCTCGTCGGAGCTGCGGGTCTGCACCTGCGGGAGGCGGTGGTGAGGACCCGCTCCGTGCAGCAGGTCTTCCTGGAGCCACCCAGAGGCCGCCCGTGCTGGCCTCGCGCCCGGGTCCCTGAGGCTCCCCCAGCGGCCCCGCCATGCTGCCACCGCAGCGTGGCCTCGGGGTCTGGGTGTGGCTCTGCGGCCGCCCCCAGGCCGCACAGCCCACCCCTCCCACCGGCAGCAACAGTCGGCCCCTCCAGGCAGGGCTGGGCCAGGCTCCTAACGTTAGTGTCTACAGCAAGCAGGACCCGCCCCTCAAGACACTGCTTACGGGGGAGCCCCGAACCCCCGAACGGGACCACTCCCCGGCTTGGGCCCCAGCCCTGGCACCATTCACACCGTGGGGCCCAGTGTGGGGGCCGCACACCTGCGTGTAGGTGCAGTTCTTCTTCCTGCACTTGCTGCAGGTGAACAGGTCTGTCTGGGTGCCCCCCGTGCGGGCCATCTGGTGCTCTCGGATGGCCTCCTTGGTCATGGCCTTGCGGATCTCCTTCAGCTCGTCACTGGCCATCTCCTGGGGGGGAAGGTGCTTAGCTGTGCGGCCGGCTCTGCAGGCAGCGCCCCCTCCCGGGGGCCGGGGAGCACCTCCGACGTCATCACCGCGATCTGCTGGGGCGTGATGGTGCCGCACAGCACGTTGCGGCGCAGGTCCGGGTTCTTGGCGTCCTTGAGGTTGGCGATGCGGCTCCGCACACGGTTCTTGTACTTCATGTCCGTGTTCCCCACGTCCCGGAAGATGCGTGCGGGCACTTAAGGACCCGCTGTAGGCTGAGGCTGCTGACCGCCACCCACCCCACTGGGCCGGGAAGGGCCTCCCCGGGGGCCACCAGGGCAGGGGCCGGGCTGGGAAGAGGAGCCTGGCACTCTGGGTCAGCCTGCCCCCCAAGTCAGGTGGTGAGCTGAGGGGCTGCTGGCCCACCTGGACCCAGTCCTGGCTGGGTCCCAGCTTGGTCATCCGCAAGGCCATGACCAAGGAGGCCCAGGCCGCAGAGCGGCAGAATCAGTCCTCTGCAGGCTCAGGATGAGCCTACCTCATCACCCAACGCCTGGCAAAGCGCCAGCACAGTGGCCGCCAGGGGAGCTGGGCCTGGCGGGCCTGGTGCCACCACGGACCCAGCCGGAAGCCCCGCACAAAGGATATACTCCTCGATCTGGGCCGACAGGCTCTCGCAGTCCGCGCTGATGGCTGCATGGTCACCTGCAGGAAGCAGCTCTCCAGCCCCTGCTGGCTCCAGCCACCCCCTCGGCGCCCAGCACCCGGTGGCGGCAGTGGGTTGGGGACACTCACGGTCCGTCTGCAGGGCGGCCGTCAGCATCTCCCGGCACTTGTTCCGCACGGCGTCGCAGGTGACCGGCACCGGGGGGAACGTGGTCATCCTCGGGGCCGGCAGCACCCTGGGCAGCTCCAGCCTCTTGCGGCTGGAGAGAGACAGGACCCTCGGGCCACGTGAACGTGAACTCATGAGACGCCGGTCACCGGAAAAGCCAGCGTCAGAGCCAGTCTCCCCTAAACGCCTTCAGCTCCACCCTGAGAGCAGCCAGCGACCCCATGCATCTGCGGTCTGCCGCCCCCCGTCCAGAGGTAGTGAGGCCTGCTGGGTAGGGCGCCCCTGACAGGGCACTGGGGGACAGCACACCCGGGGAAGCCCAGATCACGGGGCCACAACACCCAGCGGCCTGTGCCAGACCCAGGAGAGCTGGTGGGGCCGGGCGTCGCCAAGGCCAGGTGCCCACGGCTCATGCCGTGACCCCACAGGGAGGGAGAGGCCGCAGCGAGTGCTGCAAGTTCAGGGTGTGCAGCCTGAGGACCAGACCAAGCCCGGCCTGGTCCTCGGCACAGCAGCTCTTTGCAGCCAGGCCCAGCCGCGCCCGCGCTGGGGGCTGAGACGGGTCCAGAGGAAGGGAGGGAGGCACCGACAGGCCAACCAGGCGGCCTGGCTGCTGGAGAGTCCCTCCCGGAGGCTAGAGGGGCCCCTGTTCACGTGCCCTCCGCCTGCCCAGGCGGACGCCTCCCTGGCTTACTACCTGGAGTCCTTGGCCTCGGAGCCCTCCTTGCAGGAAGGTGTGGGCAGAGGCCCGCCCCTCCTCCGGTCCCTGGCTTTGGCATCTGAAGCATCTGCAAGTGCCAGAAAGGAGGGGGTGTGGCTGGCAAAGGGCAGGGCCAGGCCAGGGGGGAGCAGATCATCACCAAGGCACAGCCTCAGGCCGCTTGCCAGCCGTCCCGCCCCCCGCCCCCCAGGCCCCAGTGCTGAACCTTCTTGCTAACAACCAACTGGGGCCCTCTCCTGCCCAGCCTCAGGAAGATGGCCCCACACCTTCCCCATACACGTCCCCCCTCTAGCAGGTGCCTGTGGGCCTTTCTGGGGTCCCCCAACTGCCTGTCCTGCTGGAGAAGACTGCCATCCACCCACAGTGATTCCTGTACAGTCTCCCTCACACACACACACACACACACACACACACACACACACACACGGGCACACACTTACACGGGCACACACAGGCACACACGGACACACAGACACACACACACGGACACACACACACACGGACACACAGGCACATGCATGCACGCACACACACACATACGCGCGCGCGCGCGCACACACACACACACACACACACACACACGGACAGTCTCCGCAGGTGAAGCATTTGGACTTGGACAAAGCTGAGGGCACTCCCCAGCGGGACCTTGGCACCAGCGAGGCCCCTCCCCTGAGCACACCCCGCTAGGCTCCGGGGATGCTGGGCTCCCTGGGACCTTCTCGTGGGATGAGGCTCCCACCCGCCACCAGGCCACGGGCCAGAGCTGGCCCAGGACTCAGGTCTGCCCTCTGCAGGCTGGGGCAGCGCAGAGGCAGGAGCGGCTCAGGGCCTCACCAGCGGCTCCACAGTCCCCAGGAGGCGGCCCCAATCACTGAGGGGCAACACCCCCTTCCCCTGGCCCCTCCCTCCTCTCCCCTCTTTTCCTCCCCCTCCCTTCACCCCTGCCTGGGTGGTTCCCTTTCTCCACTCCCCTCTCCTGGCTCCTCACAGCAGCCGCCCCGCCCCGCCCCCGGCCCTGCCCTCCCAGGTGGCTCTGCCTCGGGGACAGCGGCCACCAGGGCCCCCGCTGACTCGCACCCAGGAGCTTCTTCCAGGACTTGATGAGCGACTTGGCCAGTGCGATGACCTCCTCATCCGAGCTCTGCTTCCGCAGGGCGTTGACGGACATGCCGACCCGGGTGGACTGCAAGGCAAGCGTGTGGCTGGGCAGCCGCCATCCTCCTCACAGGCCTCGGGGGCTCCCTGCCGGGCTCTGGGAGGGGACACTCCGAGGGCTGCCTTCCTGTCCCCCGCCCGCACTTGGGAAGCTCATATGAGGGCAGGTGGGCCACCCTGTCCAGCCCATCTCAGAACAGAACAGGCAGGGACGGGCCCCTTGGGAAGGTCTGTGCTGACCAAGGACGGGCCAGGGAGCCCTGCGGGCGCAGGCGCTGGCCCGGAGCTGTCCTGAGCAGGGCACAAGGGCCTACCTGAAGCAGGTGCAGCGTGACCGGCATGGCCTTCAGCTCCCGCAGCAAGTCCACGGCTCCCTCCTGGAAAGGGGGGTGCCTCATGAGGACGCCGAGGTCCCAGTGCACAAGCCCGCCCCGGACACGAGGGGGGACAGGGCAGTGACGATGGAGGGCCCCTGGTCAGGTGCTGGGGAGGCAGGAACGGGGCCGTGCACTCACCCAGCATCCCAGGTCATGTGACTTCTCACCCAGCCTGACCACTGACCAAGCCAGGACGACGGGAAATGCCTGGGGCCACAGCCAGGTGGAGGGTGGCCCCGGGGTGCAGTGTCCTATGCAGTCCCACTCCCCAAAGTGGCCCACTCCCCTGTGAGAGGGGCTGACCCAGGACCCAGGGCACCTTCACCACACCCACCCCAGCGTCCACAATCCCCAACCCCACCCACCCTCATCAGTCTGCAGGACTCTCTCAGGCCCTGGCCAGCCACCCCCTCGCCTGGACTCTTAGACCCCTGGTCTTTCTCCGCCTCACCCCCACTCCCCAGCTGTCTTCTCAAAGCCTTCCCACAAGGCACAGCCCTCAGGCGCCTCCGGGAGCAGGAGCGAGCTGCTGCCACTGCAGGGCCAGGGCTCCAGGGCGCCCTCCCTCTCTCCACAGCTGTTCACGTGACACCTTCTCAGCACCCTTCTCCCCGCTTCTCTTCCCTCCACAGATGCTTCCAATTCTCATCAGCGAGGTTTTTGTGTGTCTCCCCTGACGTACAGGGGCAGAGATGACCCCACCCGGCCACCCACGCTTGTGAGAGCCCCCGATGTTCCAGGTCATGGGAGGGCGTGGCCCACCCCCGCTCCAATCTGGGTGGCATCTCTGCTCAGGCTGCAGCCCTGGGTGATCTCCTCCAAGGGGACAATGTTGCCAGAGCCAAGGGCACAGCGCCACTCACTGCTCATCTTCCCCTGACGGAACCTCAGGCTCCAGAATGCCAGCTTTCTGGGGCTCCAGACCAGAGAGACAAGCTCACTCCTGACATCCCAAGCGGGGCCCCAACTCCCACAAGCGCTTTGTGGGCACTGGAACCCCCAAGAGCCTCTGCCAGCTCTCAGCCCCACTGCACAGCACCCAGCCCCCCACCTCACAGGCTGCGTTCTCCAGCCTCGCGGCTTCCCTCACTGCCCCCTGGGGCTTGGGGTGAGCATCGCTCCTCCCTGCACACCCTCCCCGTCCCGCAGGGCCCCACCCTGCCCTGCATGGGTTCCAGGACCCATACCATCCCCCGCTGGGGGTGTTTATTGGTCGTTTTGTCTCCTTCAGGGAAAGTAGCTGCATCCTCTGGTCGCCTCTGGAAAGGGACACACACCATTCCCACACTCCTGCTCGCTGCCCACCACCTCCCAGGGGTCTGCACACAGGGGGGAGGGGGTGCGGCTCCACAGGGTGAGCGAGAGAGTGGGAGCCAGCCCCTGTCCCAGCAACCAGGTCAACCAGGGACCCACACGCAGCCCTGCTCAGCCCAAACCGTCAGTGCAAGCACCGGGCCGGGATGATGCAGGGATGGGAGCCCAGGACCTCCCCTGCTGAGGTCACCACTCCGCCTGGACCCAGGCGCTGGGTGAGCGGACAGCGGGCCAGCCAGGACCCTCTCCGCCCACAAGGCTGCCGCGGAAGGCATGCAGGGTGCCGAGGCCTCCGAGCTGGTGGAACCCCATCTGCCGGGCCCCTGGCGGCAAAGGCTCCCGGCGGCAGAACAAGAGGCCAGGCGCCCGCCAGGCTCCGGACCTCGGAGGGCGCTGCCTGGAGGTTTCTACTGCCCGCCCGCTCCCGGCTGCTGCTGGCCGAGTCCTGGCTAAAGAGGGGAAAGCATTTATTAAGGAAACCTGGTTCTTGTGAGGCGGGGACAGGGAAGGTGACCATGAGGGCCCAGGCCCGCAGGCATCCAGGGATCAGAGGCCCATCTGCACGCCAGTCTCTCGCAGGCCGAGTGGGTGCGGGACAGGGATGCGGTGAGGTCGCGGACCGGAGGGGCGGGGCCGAGGGAGGGCGTCGCGGGCCCCGCGGGGTCTGGAGTTGGGGACTTGCAAGGGGCGGGTGCCAGGCCTGCGGGGTCTCAGCCTGCCGTTGGGGTCTGAGTCCGGAGCGGTGGCTGCGGACATGGTCCAGGCCTGATCGCGGCCTAACCGGGGGTGCGGGGGTGATGGGCAGGGCTGGCCCGGGGCAGGGGTCTGGGCTCGGCCACCGGCGGGGTCTCGTCCTGCCCCTCGGGTAGTCTCCCGGGCCCTGACGGGGGCTCGGCGGGCTCGGCGGGAGCTCGGCGGGGCGGGGGTCCCGGGGTCCTGGCGGCCCGCGCCCCTCACCGCGGTCTTCTTGGTCACCATCTTGTCCAGCCTCCGGGCGATGCGCGTAATCTCCTCCTCCTTGCCCATCATTGCCTCAGGGGCAGCGCCCCCAGCGCCCGCCGCGCCAGCCTCAGCCTCTCGGCCCAGACGCCAACCCCCGGCCGTCACCGCCTCCCGCACCCGCCGCCGCCGCCGACGCAGCCCTGCCGCGGGAGGGAGACCCTCTATTCAAACCCTTGGCCCCCGCGCCCGCCGCGCTGCTAACTGGGACGTGTAGTTCTCACTCCCGCCCGCCTCGCGCGCGCTCTCCCCGCTCTGGACCACAACTCCCAGGAGCCACGCGGGTGCGCACCGCTTCTTGGGAATTGTAGTCCTGACGCTGGCAGTCAAGGCAGACCTACGGAACCAAAGGACTCGCAGTCCCACGAGCCCCCGCACGGACCAGTTAGCCGGTGGAGGGCGCTGCGGTGGCGCGTGGGGCTACGACGTGAGTACCAGCTGCGGCTTGGACCCGAGACGTACCTCCATCCCCCCCGCAATCTTTCCCCCTAAATTGGCCAGGGACTCGCTGCGCGGGAGACTCTAAGGCACAGGCACCTTAGAGTCCTTCCCCTCTCGCCACCCCCTCTGAGCCCTCCTCTTCCACCACCCGCTGTGGCAGGGCAGCCGCATTCTGACTCTGGTGCCCAAGAGCCAAATCCTGCAGAAGATGCCCTGAGCGCTCAGCTCCGGATTTGGGCCTCTAAAGCTTCGTGCAGGTCGCCGCCTGGAGTGCCAAGGGAACAGTAACAGGCTACGGAGTCTGGGAGAGGCATGGGCAGGGTGGGATTAGCAAGGCACCAAAGGCTGTGTGGCCAGGGACCCCGCCTCCAGTCATCTACCCGATGCGAATCCCTGGCTGCCACTTCAGATAGTCATTGACCACTTTGTGCCTGTCTTCCCACTTGTGAAATGGGATGTTGATAGTATCTACCTCACTGGGCTGCTGTCAAAATACTGTGAGCTGATTCTCATCATGCACCGAGAACGGCACAGGAGAGAGCATGAGCAATTAGGCTGTCACCACCCTTGCTGCTGGAGCTCCAGGGGAAGGGCCAGACTGCGCTGAGTTGAAGGGATGGCCTAGCCCCGCGGAAGATTGGGGAGGAGGGGAGGGACAGGGTCAGCATCTCTACCAGATGTCTACCACCTCCTCAATGATACAGATGCTGGGTGATATGCTGTAGGGGGCACAAGTTTGGGGAGGGTAGAGGCCAGGGGACTGAGATCTATAGTATTGTGGGCCCACAGTCACTAAAATTCAAGTCAAGTAACTGTGAGGCCAGATGGAAGACGGAATGCTCAGATGACCCCAGCTGACCATGACTTAGCTATAACTGAGCTTCCCAGCAGCCAAAGTGAAAAGGAAAACATAGGTTATGAAATTCTAGGAAAAAGCATGGAATTCCTCATAGGGAGCAAAGGTTTTCCAGTGTAACAGGAGAACACAGCACCCCCAATTTACAAACCAGCACTGATCCTGCCCCTCGCTCTGAGCCCCACCCATCAGCCTGGGCCATCACTCTGAGCCCCGCCCATCTTGAGGCCAACATCTGGTAAGAGAGTGTGTGCAGCCTGTGAGGGTCCAGCAATACCAGTGACACTAGAGAGATTGGAGCCGCACCCCCAACCTCTCCACAGAACACCGCTGGCTAAACAAGGCGCTGGCAGGGACCTGTATCCAGAACCCAGCAGTAGCTCCAGAGGACCCGTCCCAGAGGTCAGGCTTCCAGGTCGGAGCCGCCTGCACACGCTGAAGTTCAGGGCTCCCAGCACAGGCCTGGAAGCCATCTGTCCCCTACTTGTCCTGCCCATTTCCTTGGGCCATCTCCCACAGGGATGTGTCCACGAGACTGCCCAGCCAGGCCCCCCACCCAACAGGAGGGGTAAGTGGATGGAGGAGTGCTCAAAGGGAACTCCCCTTCAGGCTGGCACCACTCTGAGCACCACGACAGGGGTCCAACAAAGGCTGGAGCACAGGGAGAAGTAAACCCACTGGTCAGCGGAGCAGCCGTCTGCCTCTGAGCAGGAAGGTGTGTCCTAGAGACCTCAGAACAGCTTAGGTCCCTAAGAGTAGAGTCAAAAGGAGAAGCTGAGCCCGGCCAGTGTGGCTCCATGGCTGAGTGTCAACCTATGAACCAGGAGATCAGTTTGATTCCCGGTCAGGGCACATGCCCGGATTTCGGGTTCAATCTCCAGCGGGGGGCATGCAGGAGCTCATCACTGATGTTTCCCTCTCCCTCTCCCTTCCTCTCTGAAATCAATAAAAACATTTTAAATTTTTTAAAGGGAGGGGATGAGCACAGGCCTCTCGGGGGTCTTGCCTGGGATGTCGCCTGGGCGTCAGCACAGCCCTTGGAGCAGGTTCAGCCAAGGAGCCAGCCTCACGGCCCGTCCCCACCTACTCTCCCCACGGGCCCCGGCAGCACAGAGTGCTGGGGAGAGAGCGGCCGGCCGTGCAGACACTCCGGAGAGCCAGCCTGAGGGCTCAGCCTGACCTTGCTGGGTAGGCCGCCCTGGCGAGGGATGGTCTCCAGCATCCAGTCAAGGGGCTTTGCATAAGGGATGCTGCTGAGTGTTTAGCGGCCCTGAAGACACGCTGGTGCAGCCCTGTGAGTCCCGCTCGTGCACGAATGTAAGGTCACGGAGGACAGGCACCACTCCCTGGCCCAGCCAGAGTGGGAACCCAAACTGTGTGCCCGCGGCCCTCCGTCTCCGTGAGAAGCCGGGGGTCTCCCCCTCGGGGGTTTGGGGGCCACAGAGACAGCTTGTAGGAGCAGGCGTGTCTCAATGCGTCAGAGGCCCCCTGACACTGCAGACCGAGGAGAGCCGGGCGCTGTGGCCCCCCGAGGGTGATGGCCAAGCAGCGGGGCCTCGGCAGGCGGCGTGCCCAGCAGAGGGCAGCCTGTGGGGCTGAAGCAGGCGTCTGGGGAGTCTGGCCCAAGGAAATGGGCTGGACAAGTAGGGGACAGATGGCTTCCAAGCTGGGAGTCTGGGGACCACAGCCCTTCCCGTGACGGGAGCCCTGAACTCCAGCGCGTGCAGGCGGCTCCGACCTGGAAGCCGTCACCGCGGGGCGGTGTGGCCCGGTGTAGTGAGCCAGAATCCAGGGTCCGGGTGGGGTGACCCTGCTCCAAGGCAGCATGAGCAGTGGCCTCTAGGTGGCAGGAGTGAGCCATGGACCGGACCTGCCTGTCAGCCGGGTGGCCACGGCGCTGAGGCAGCCAAGTGGGATGTGGGCCGTCCTGGAGGAGGCCTTCCCTCGTGGAGCTGAAGGTGGGTCCCACCCTGCCAGGGCTCAAGCTGAAGTATCGCTGGCCAGCCCCCAAGCTCCCAACTCCCCACCCGAGAAGTCCCTGTCCTTGGGCCCCTTATGAGTTCATGACCCCCAGAACCTTGCTCACCTCCGACCCCTGTTGGACCTTACCCGACCTTGGGAACTTCCTTCTCCAAGGAGCTTCCCCAACATTCGCCCGACGGGGCGTCAGATGCGGACTCTCCCTCCAGGGGCTCTGAGCCGGCCACAGCCTCGGGGAGTGCTCCACCGCCGCCTCCCACCTCGTTCCAGGCTGGGTTTGGAGCCAGGAATGTGTGGATGTGGGGAATTGGGGTCTCCTTGTTACAGGTCAAAGGTTAAGAGAAGTAAGGGGTGGGAGACAGCACACTTGCCTCTCAGAGTTTCCAGCCAGTCCATCAGCCAATCACCTTGGCCCAGGTCCAGACCCCTACCCCATTCTATTCTAGAAAGCCCTCCTGCATACTCCGTAGGCCCACCTTGGGGTCTCCCTCAGCTCCCACGATGTGCCAAGGGGCGTGCATGGACAGATACACATCCCCAAGCCCAGGCCTGCCCCCTCCCCCCCACCGCCGGCTGCCCTCCCCTCGGGATTGTGTCCTCTCCAGGACTTCCACCCTCCACCCCTTCCCTGAGAGACGGGGTGACCTCAGCCCTCTGTAGGAGGCCCACTCTGTCCAGGGGGCTCGGAGAGGGCCCAGAAACGGCCTTGACTGGAGTCTGGGGACACCCCAACAACACCCTAGGGTCCATTCCACACAGGCCCCACACACCTTCAGCCCAGAGGCCTGCTCCTCCCCTGTCCTCAGTCCACAGAAACATCGGAAGCTCAGGCCATTTATTTTTCTATTTGTGTCCCCTGCCCCCGCCCGCCAGAAGCCGCTGTGACCCCAGCCGGTGGCATCCGTGCTTCCCTCCTGGCGGGGCGAGCCTTGGTGGGAAGGCCGGGGCTGCTAAGCTCACGGGCCTCGGTCCTGGCCGCAGGCAGGCAGGGCTCCTGCAGCCCAGGAGCACGCCACCCCGGCCCTGCAGGCAGCCCTCCCGCAGGACCCCTCAGACCCTCTGCCCTCCTGCGGCCACCGCTCCGGCACAGGGACTCCGTGGGACTGGACCACCTACTCCTCTGAGGTCCGGAGGGCAGCGGCCGGGGCGTCGGTCCTGGGAACCAGTGCCTGCCGGCTCTGCGCTGCGGCCGCTCTGGGCCTCCGCCTCCCAGTCTGCAGAATGGGGAGAGCCACCTGCCCAGAGCAGGCTCTCTGGTTTCCAGCCAGTCCACCGGCCAATCACCTTGGCCCAGGTCCAGCTTCCCGCCCCCTCCCCCTCTACGCCAGCCCACCGCTGCAGAGGCAGCACTTGGAGGGAGGCAGGCATCCCCTGAGGCTGGTGGCTGCTCAGGCGGCTCTAACAATGCTTCCCCCACACAATTCCCAGAAACACCGCCCTCCCTGCCCTGCCAGCCCGCCAGCCCGGCGGCCACTCCGCCTCCCCTCACCCCAGCCCCTCCTCCCCTCCCCAGGCAGCAGCAAGTCAGAGCTATGGGTGAAGGAGGAGGTCAGCAAACCCTGGGCCAGGCACACAGCCTTGCCCTTCTGGAGAGAAGTGGAGGGGCCTCGTGAGGGGGATTGGGGACGAGGGGACAGGCCTGGGAGGTGGCCTTGGCCAGGCCCAGACCCCTGCCTTTGTCACCGACTCCACAGGGCGCTGTGCTGGCTGTGGAAGCTGTCAGGCGGCAGCCCTCTTCTGCTCAGAGCCCCCAGCCCCACACAGCCCCTCCTGCTCTCCCCACGGCCTGCCCGTCCCGCCCGGCATGCGCACACACCGGTCCCTCTGGGTAAGCACTCCCCTGAGATCCCTCATGACGTTCACGTTTCCTTCAAGAAGCAGCTCAAGAGTCGCTTCACGAAAGTCAGTGGCCCCCGGACACAGCCCCTCTCCTCCGAGCGGCCTTCCCTGGAGCAAGCACACTGGCCCCATGTCCGCCCCTGTTCGCAGGCTCCCTGACCGGCTCCCTCACAGGGAGCTCCCCCCGGCAGAGACTGGGTCTGATGTGTTTGCTGCCAAAGCCCCACTTCCTAGAACAGGGTCTGGAGGGACTGAGCGCCACACAAGCAGTCAGTGGTGGAGGCTGGGCCTGGCCTGAGCGAGGAGGGGGAGTCCCTAAGAGCGCAGCCCAGCCTGTCTGACAGCCCCCCGCCGCCATCACAGCCGCCGGTCACCACCTCGGGGCTCAGCTCCTTCTTTCCCTGCTTCCCAGGAGCTGAGGACTGTCGCCAGGACCTCCAGGGAAATGTGGGGCCAGGCCCGCCAGGGGCCGCTGCTCTCCCGGGGCTGGGGTACCCATGTGCGCCACCACACGCCCCCACGCAGGGCAGACCGAGAGCCACGGAGGGGAACAGGCACACCTCCTGCAGAGCAGGCAGCTCAGAGCCAGACCCAGGGCCCTGAGATCTGAGGAAAGAAGCCGCACCAGCAGCTGCTTGTGCCCAAATTGGGTGGCACAGGGTGGAGCCAGGGGCAAGAGCACCGGACGATGGCACAGACAGTGTCTGGCGCCTGCTTGGCCAGGCCGGCTCTCCGGCTCCCTCGCCTCAGCTGCAGCCTTCCTTCCTGAGCTGGTGTTTCCTGGCTCCTCCCTACTGTTGCCAAGGAAACCTAGAGCCACCCATCCCCAGCCTAGTTCCCAGGGAGCCCTGCTGAGCAGAGAGGGGGCCACACAGCATGCAGCAACACCCCAGGACACACAGCCACACGGGCCCCCAAAGGCTTACACGGCTCAACACCCCGACCCCTGTTCAGTGCAACACCCACCGACACTGCACCCCACCACGTGTGGCCTGACCCAGCCGTCCCCAACTGTCTGCCACCTCCAGCTGCTCTCACTCCAGGCCCCCCAGGCCTGTGCCCCCCGCCCAGTCCTGCTGGCCGGCAGCACTCAGCCAGATCGACACCCTGCACAACAGCCTGTGTCCCCACACACTGAGGCCCGGACAGCCCACAGCCTCTGCTCCCCAAGGCTCAGACCTCAGCCGCCCCGCGCCCACCGCCACTCGGACACCAGTCCCACACCCGCAGCTCTGCCCGGCTGCAGGCCCGTGCGCCTGGGAACCACACTGACCCCACACCAACCCGCTAGACAGCTGCACCGCACCTTGCCCCTCACCCCCACCCCCGCCTCCCAGGAGAGGCCCAGGGCGCGGGCGCCAGCACCCAGGAATGAGCAGGAGAACCCGCTGGAGCAAGGCCCGTGTCCAGGGGGCCTGCCCGGCCACGTGTGCCCGCTTGCTTCCAGGTCGCCGGTGGGCTGCAGAGGCGTGTCCCCACGCAGAGGCCAGCTGACCTCACCTCCTTCCCCGGGCGCAGCGCAAGGACCAGCAGGCGGCCGGGCCAGGCCTGCAGCCGGGTCTCGGGACAGGAGGCGGGATCTGAACTGGGAGCCGGGCTCCTAAATGGAGGTCTCAGGACCAGAGAGTCCCCGCCGCCCGGTCCTGGATCCAATGGGACCCACTCCACCCTCTGGCGCAGGAGGGTCCAGCCCACAGGCCGGTAATTGGTCCCAGCTTGCTGCTCCTGCAGCAGGGCTGCGCCCCGGGCAGTGCCTGGGAGGTCTGCCACCCCCAGAGCCCAGCCACCCCCACAAAAAACCAGAGGGGGATTATCCAGCATCCTTTGCAGGCTTCACCCAGAGGTTGGGGGGTCCAGTCCAGGCTGAGGGAGGAGCGAGCAGAGGGCAGCAGAGCAGTGTCTACATGACGCGCAGGCCAGCCACACACGTTAGAGAGAGCTTGCCCTCCACTGTACCTTGTGTCTGGGGAGTTAGGGGCCACACACAGGGCCCCCCAAGGGTGGGCAGCAGCCAACTGAGTCTCAGGCCAGCCTGGGGTGGGTCCTGGAAGCATAGGAATGCCCCCAAACTCATTATCACCCACACTTTGGACAGAGCAGGGACCACAGCTTGGTGGCCAGAGAAGTCTTGGGGACCCCCCTTGGTGGGTGCTGAGGGCAGGACTGCACTGGAGCAGGACCCCCATTCTAGGTCCTGTTCAACCTCCAACACTAGAGCCCACCTCGCCCCAAACCCAGGCTGAGTCACAGCAGACCACACACAGACCAGACTCCCACATCTGAGGTCCCCCGCCACACACAGCCAGCCACACCCACCAGCCCGGCAGAGCCCTGGGGAGTCCTCACCCCATTGTTCTCCCATCTGGACAGTTGGGCCTGAGGGGCCAGGCTGTCCACACCCTTGCCAGGCAGCTCAAAGGAGAGAGCAGTCAGACCCCCAAAGAGGAAGGGGGCACCCGGGAGCCCTCACCTTGCCCTGACCAGTCCCACCCATAGGACGTGACATCCAGACACGGGAGCTGAACAGGTGGACGAGGAGGGAGGGTCGCTGGCGGGGGCGCGGTGAGGCCTGGCGGGGGCGGGGGATGCTGGGCTGTCAGGGCAGCGGGGGGTCAGGCAGGGCCCCTTCAGGAACTGAAATCCTTTCACAAGGGGGGGGCGGGGGCACTGCAGTGGGGGGTCCCAGATGCCTCCTTCCTGAACCCCAACGACCATGTTTCAGAACAGCAGCTGCCAGGCCGAGCCAGACCTTGGAGACCCTGACCACACCCAGAGCCTCCGCCAGACAATGAGCCCTCAAACCTGCCCTTCCACCTGGAAGCTCCCCCCTCACTGTCAGAGGGGAGCCGGCCCCACTGGCAGGGGCTGTGCACCTGTCCACCAGGGCCCTCCTTCTGGCCTGCCTCCCAGGAAAGCCAGTTCCTCGGCTGCCTGAGCATCGGCTGGGCAGGTCCTGGACCAGTGGCTGGGCCTGGGACCTCAGAGCCAGGCTGGAACCCGCCCTTCGCTCCTCCTCTGGCTGTCGGATGAGACCCTACAGGCCCAAGTCAGCGAGGGCCCTCAGGGACCCCCGTGGGGTCCTGGCCTTCCCTGGGCAGCACGGCCGTGGGGGAGGTCAGAGGGCAGACTGCATATGGCCCAGAGGGGCCACCAGGGACAGCTCCCACACCTGCCAGGGCTCCTGGCACCGCGGGGGAGGGCTGCGCTAAGAGGGCTGTGCAGGAGGAAACGGGGAGCCCGCGCTGCCTGGGATCCTTGCTCCACCCTCCACAGACCCACCCTCAGCAGGACCCAGTGGGAGACGGATGGGGAAGACCTCCGGCTCAGAGCCCAGGCCCCTCCTGCCAGGGGCGAGGGGCTGGGGGGGCAGGCGGCTGGGAGAGGCCTCAGTTCTGGAAATCCTCCTAGGGCTGGTAGGAGGGCTCCCCTTTCCCCCCCTCCCTCCCCACCTGCCCAACCCTGGTCCCGCCTCACTCTCCTCTGCTGCCCTGGTGGCCTGGGTGGGCAGGTAACCAGCTGGGCTGGCCCAGGCCCCACCCCGCACCCAGCAGGCCGGGGAGGTGGCACGAGGCCCTTTGCCCAGGTGTGTCCTGTTCTGAGTGGATTTGGGAGGGGGAGGGGGACGTAAGGACCACCTTCCCGTTAACCCCCCGGCCAGGACTGCGAGGGCACGTGCGTGGAGGGCCGCGGACATGACACCCCTGTTACCCGGAGGGCGCTTCTCACCTCTGAGCTAGGCTCCCGGGAGGAGGACACGGGTAAGTGCGGCCCTTCCTCCAGGAACCTGGGCAGGCAGCCCCTCCCGTTACCCCGCGGGCGGCTCCGTGGGCGGGGCGGCAGCTCCTCTGAACGGCTGCCAGCCCCGACGGCGCCCCCAGCTGCGGCCACATCAGTGCCCTTCGCGCTGGGGTCTCTCCTCCGGAGGCCGGGCGGGACGCGCCGGGAGGGACAGGGAGCCCCGGGAGGGGGCGGCCTCGGCCCGCCCCGGCCCGCCCGCCGCCCCGCCGATTGGCCCCGGGCCGCTATATCTGGGCGCCACCCGGCGGAGCCGCGTCCCGCCGTCCGCCCAGCCCGCCGCGCCCCGCGCCCGCTCCCGCCGCCGGCCGCGCCCGCTGGGATGCAGAGGCCGCCGCCCGGCCAGGCCGCGCCGCACCGCCCGCCCGCCCGCCGCGCCTGTGCGTGGGCCCCGCCGCCCGCCGCGCCCGCCGCGCCGCCCAGCCCGCCGCGCAGCCCCGAGCCCGGCGGCTATGGCCTCGGCCCGACCGGCCGCGGCGAGCGCCTGGCGGCCGACGAGCTGCGCGTTCGACGGCCCATGAACGCCTTCATGGTGTGGGCGAAGGACGAGCGCAAGCGGCTGGCGCAGCAGAACCCGGACCTGCACAACGCGGTGCTGAGCAAGATGCTGGGTGAGTGCGGGGGCTCCCGGGGGCGGCGGGCTCCCCGGGCGGCGGGCTCCCCGGGGGCGGGCGCGGGCCCCGGAGTCCCCCCAGGCCGCGCTGACCGCCGCCCCGCAGGCAGGGCGTGGAAGGAGCTGAGCCCCGCGGAGAAGCGGCCCTTCGTGGAGGAGGCGGAGCGGCTGCGCGTGCAGCACCTGCGGGACCACCCCGACTACAAGTACCGGCCGCGCCGCCGGAAGCAGGCGCGCAGGGCGCGGCGCGCGGAGCCCGGCCTCCCGCCGCCCGGCCTCCCGCTGCCGGGCCCGCCGCCGCCCGAGCCCTTCCCCGCGGCGCCCGGCCCGGCCCGCGCCTTCCGCGAGCTGCCGCCGCTGGGAGCCGAGTTCGACGGCCTGGGGCTGCCCACGCCCGAGCGCTCGCCGCTGGACGGCCTGGAGCCCGGCGAGGCCGCCTTCTTCCCGCCGCCCGCGGCGCCCGAGGACTGCCTGCTGCGGGCCTTCCGCGCGCCCTACGCGCCCGCCGCGCCGCCCCGGGAGCCGGGCCGCTACGGGGCGCCCCCGGGGGAGGCGCTCAGGACCGCGCCCGCGCCGCCGCCCGGCCTCTACTGCGGCCTGGGCGCCCCCGGCCCGCTCTCGCCGCCGCCCGAGGCCCCGCCGGAGGGCGCCGAGCCGCTGGGGCCCGCCGCCGACCTGTGGGCGGACGTGGACCTCTCCGAGTTCGACCAGTACCTCCACTGCGGCCGGACTCGGCACGACGCCGCCGGGCTGCCCTGCCACCTGGCGCTGGCCAGGCTGGGCCCGCGCGCCATGTCCTGCCCGGAGGAGAGCAGCCTCATCGCCGCGCTGTCCGACGCCAGCAGCGCCGTGTACTACAGCGCCTGCATCTCGGGCTAGGCCGCCGCCCCCGCCCCCCTCTTTTCCTCCCCGCGCCCTCCCCTCGTGTCCCCCCCTGCAGCCGCCGGCCGCCGGGACCGGGCCTGCAAGGGTGGGTCTGGCTTGTGCAGGCTTTTCCAGGACGCCCGGTCCTAAAACCTGTGGGCTGGCCCTGCCAGGGTTAAGTTTTCCAAGCGCCTAATCTTTTCCTGCAGTGTTTTCTAGAACCAGGTTGTGTTTTTACTTTGCCTTTTTTTTTATATACATAATACACTATATTTAAGTTTTAAACTTTTACACCCTGTCTTCCAAGGGGTCTCAGTAATCAAAGCATCAATGTAGCAAGGGCTTTTCAATGGGAGGAACCACCTGTTGGTTTGCTGTAAAGGAGGAGCCGGAGCTGGTCCCCTGAGCCGGGCGAGGCCACAATAAAGCGCCGCCTCTTCGCCCTGAGCTCGCCTTGTCTGATCACTGGGGAGGATGGAGCTGGACCTGCCCTTCCCTCCAAACCTCCCTCGAGAGTCTGGCCTCAGCTTGGACCCCACTTTTTCATCCTGCCCAGGAGAGTGGGTGGGAAGCAGGAGCTGTGGGCACTCCCCATCCTCCAGCCCTCCATTTCCCTTCTGCCCTGCCCCATTTTCACTCAAGCCTCATAGGGTCAGACTACTGAGCAATCCCCTCACCCAGGTTTCCTCCAACTTGCCTCCTCCTTAAACTTCCTTCGTGCCCAGCGACTGCCCAAGATGGCCTCGTGGACGGAGGCGGTGTGTGTGTGTGTGTGTGTGTGTGTGTAACACTGTACGCAGACACGCATCCTGGGCCCCGCCTGTCATTTTCAACCCGTGTCTCCGGAGCGGGCAGAGCCACGACACACCCGTGATGCCCTAGGCCACCTGTCCGGACCAGAGCAGGGGGCAGGCCGCAGTCTCCAGCCGGCCCCTCTGAAGTCACATGGTCTCTGCCCTGAGGACGGGCCTTCCCATCCGCCTCCTCCGCCCAGCCCCTGCCCAGCGCCCCCAGGTTTCGGAAAAGTCGGCAGCAATCACCTTCGTGGGTGATTCCCCCGGGGTGGAGTCCAGTAGCACCCCAGACTGACCCCTGCGCCAGCTCCTCAGCACCGAGCTGGTCTTCCAAGCCAAGGGAGAGCACGTGTTCCCTGGTCTGTCCCGTCCCAGCCCCCCACCCCGTGTAGGGTCCCTGACCACCCTGATGGGGGGAAGTCACACTTTCCCATGAGCATGTGCTCTGGGGGAGTTGGTGTCTGAGATGTACAGGCCCTGTGATGCGGGTGAAACAATCTACACACCTGTGAGCATGCTTGTAAGTAAGTATGTACGTGTGTGTGCACACCAGGCTCTGAGCATAGCTGCGATGCTGAGCGAGTGACATCCATGAAGGTGACTGTGAACGGTGTGAGACTGCGTGCACACAGTGTGCAGCGAGCCGGGGCCCGGCCGCTCGCGCGCCTGTGCAAGCCCTGGGGTCACAGCGGGGTCTGGGGGAAAGGTGTGCGGCTGCTCTGGGGGCCCTGCTCTTGGAGGTAGGTTGACATCAGTCGCCTGTGTGTTAACTGGCATGAGCCCTGCATCTCAGCTGGCAGAGCGGGGAACAGGATCTGGGCCCCCTGTCCCTACCCCATCAGCAGCAGGGCCCAGAAAACTCAAAGACGGGTGGAGAAAGGCAAGCTGGGGGAGCCAGAGATGGATGCAGAGGTGGGACAGGCCCCCAGTGGTGGAGGGACAGACAAACAGCCCCCAGGACACCAGAGCACACAGTGGGCAGGCAGGTTGAGACATGGCACAGCAGGCGGTGCGGCTCTTCTGCCCAGCAGGGGAGGGGCCCAGAGGCGCCCCCTGGTCCTGGGCTCTCCCAGGGAGCGTGCTCATTGCCCTGGAGTGCTCAGCCACACCCACTCTCCCAGCTCAGGAACTCCTGCTCAGGCCTGACGCTGCTGGGGGACAGGTGGCCCACCCTGGAGGCCCGGTCAGCTTGGCCAAGGTGCCCCGCCGTGGCCCTCCCAGGCCTGGGCACATGACAGCTGGAGCCCAGGAGCCTCTGCACAGGGGTGGGCCCTCCTGCCCCTCGCCTGCTCCGGGCCAGGCCTGGCCTCCGCCCAGAGCCACGTGCACAGCCCGAGGTCCTCCCTGCCGGGGCCACCAGTGCCCCTGCCCAGCGACACCATGGACACTGAGCAAGGTGCCAGGCCAGCTACGGGGCCGAGCGGGGCTGTCTTGGCCGTTTGCCGGCTTAGGCTGGAGCAACCTTCACACCTTCATTGTGGGCTCCGCGCTCCGCCATCTCACCGAGAGGCCCAGCCCAGGCGGGGGGGATGAGGAGCCCCGTGGACGCCTGGGTGGCAGGACCCACTACCCAAGGAGGGCGCGGCCCAGCAGCATTCCCCTGGGAGCCACCCTCAGCCCCCAGAGGAGTCCCCGCCAGGAGCAGGGTCTGGACAAGGACCCAGGCCTCTCCCCAAGGGCAGCGTCTGTACCAGCCGCTCCTCGGCAGTGGCGCTGGGCCGGGGAGGAGAGAGGGTCCCCTCGGAGGGAGGCCCTTTGTCCATCGCGCCCGGGGGCTCCCCACGGGGCCTGCTCACACCAGCCCGTGATGCCAGCTGGTCCTAGGCAGGACCACAGCCCAGGGCCTGGGTGGCTCCGGCTCCAGGTCAGACTTTCCACCTCTGCCTCCTGCTCCAC